GCCGCCGCTCATGACCATGAAGTTCCAGCGGTCAGGGCCGCTCCTCCCCATGTCCTTACTTTGTCGCTCCTGTCGGTACTATTGGCTTTTCTCCCGGAATTGCTTTTCTTCCTATTACCGAACCCCCCGTCGCCGCTCCTCCTGTTACCGCCCCTCCTGTCGTCGCTCCTGCTGTCGTCGCTCCTGCTGTAGCTGCTCCAGCTGTCGCCGCCCCTCCTGTAGCCCCTCTTCCTGTTGCTGCCCCTCCTGTCGCCGCTCCACCTGTCGTAGCCCCGCCAGTTGTTGCTCCCCCGGTTGTCGCTCCGCCAGTTGTTGCTCCTCCAGTTGTTGCTCCCCCCGTCATAGCTCCTCCCGTATCATCAAATCCGGGAGAAATAGTGACTGTCTCGTCATCGAGCTGAGATGTCTCTTCTTGTGCCCTGGCCATGCTAAAATGAAGCGCTCCGCTAATGAGATCTGTGAACTGTACAGTCACGTTAGCAAGCTAGGTAGTCAACGAATTCCATCCCACATCTAGTCCTCACTGTCGCTTGGTCAATGGCGCTTCTGTGAATTGTGCATGGACAACATTGCAGGTCAAATACTTCGCCTGATGCGATCGCCACAGACACGTACTCAGTCAGACTTAGTTCACCAGTAGTTTGAGAGAAAACGAAGATTGTCGTTGCAGCGATGCAATGGGTCGGCGGTACGAGACTCGTTTGATTTCACCGAAGGCTAGTGGATTCTTATTAATGGAGAAGCACTATACAGCCCGAAGCTTCTCACACTGAGCCATAGGTGGCTCATTGGGTGGACGCATAGCCATACTGGCTTTCATTCCATTCATCATTCATGAATCGCTAGGCAGTTGGCGCCTTAACAGCGATCAGTCAGTCGGATTCATTTGCCCGGAAACTTATGGCCACCAGCTGCTGAGAGCACTTGCTTGCAACAGACATATTCAAACTTAGTGCCAAACCTGTCCTGGATATGCAAACGTTTGGCCGACATTCAAGCTTATGGTCGTTAGGTGACACGCAGTGAATGCACGGAAGGACAATGGCGCATTGCAAGTCATGAGGTCAAAGCCGAAGATCGTTAGAAAAAGGAACGTATGTGTAAACGCACTTCGCGTGTGTTCTTGACCTTCTGATCTCGTCCAATAGCGGCCACTCGTCACATACTAGTACGCAGTGAACACGCTTGGTTTTGCGCAATGACTTCAACGAATGATGATTCGAATCGCGAACGTTTCCTCGTCCAAATGGTGATAAATTGAACACTCACAGATCTTGAAGGATGATAGGTCCGACGGGACAGGTGAGACAACAGTATGTTAGCATGCTTCTATGTGAGCCCTGGTTGCTAAGCCTTGCCAGCAGAGTTGGCATTTGTTGTACTGACAGTTGCAATAGCCACTAACACGAATTTCGTTTCGCTGCATACGCCTATTTCTCTTTGACAACGTTTGTGATTCATCTCGATACATCCGCTCGAGGTATTTTCGCACTGTTGGGTCCGGACAGTGTATCAACGATGGCTTGCATTCGACTATAAATGTGAAGGTAAGACTTGATTCTCGCTACGTATTGGCTGTTAATATCGAAAAGCATGCGACAGCTTTGGCAATGTATGTATATCGAGTTGTTGGGTATGTCTTCGATCCTAAATTTGCCATTGTAGTAGGATTTGACCAATGTTGACGAGAATCATCAAAATCACACTGATGCCCGCTACAGTATTTGCCTTGGACCACGACACTCAGCCGAACCCTCTCGGACATATGTATCACACCGTCCCCATAGCCTCACATCAAGACAACTCCGCCAGGCTCCTTTCCATGAATCGTGCGCTAGCGTACAGATTCTCGTGGTGGCCAAATCCTGCAATGAGGCAACTGAAGTCTTGCGATAATCTTGAGGATACGACGCTATTAGGTGGTATGGGACAAGCATAGGCCTGGCGGACATGGCCCGGAATGAGTTGGCGGTACGTCATCAAGGCTAGCATGAGGTTGGAGGAGAGAAGCAGAAACGAATCAACTCACAAAACAGATAAATATTCCATTTACAGATGTCGCAAATAAATCCACCCATAACTTCTACATATGTAACAGTCTTGAGCTACAGTGCGTTGCTATAACATAATTCTGTCATAGTACGGCAACGCGGCCCTAAGATCGACACGGAGTTGGGCTCTTGAGTGAACGAGTATGAAGACCAGTCGACTAAAAGCAACACAGCCGACGCCACCAAGGCCGCTCTGGTTCTGATTCTGAAGCTGGAGCTGCGGACACTAGACAGCGTAATGGGAGGAAGATAATGCAATCAGTACTAGCGTTACTCGAACCAAAGACGACATACCGACTACTTGTGGCGTTTGTATTTTCTCCGCATTATTAGCACGCATGAAACGCAGTTTTTCCTTCTCGCTCAACACTTTGCTCAGCCTATCCTGCACCACTCGACGTTCTGTCTCCATTTCCTGTAATATCTTCTCTTTCGACGACTCTCTCTCACTGAGCAGTCTTTGCCGCTCCCTCTCAATCTCCTCTAGCTTCTCATTGTGTCGCTTCTCCTCCTCGTCAAGTGCAGACTGTAGTTGAGTGCCAGCTTCAGTTTCAGGGATCGACTTGTGTTGGTCAACCAGTTCCACTTGCACTCGCAATGCCCCCGATTTTCTTCCCATCAAATCTCGCAATATCGTTTTCGCAGATTCTTGCGTGTTATCGTGCCTGTACATTCGAGCATTGTTCTCGATCGCGTCCTTGAAGAAATTTGTGCTCAGCTCTTTCTCCCGGCGCATACCCACGGTTTGGTTTGAACTTGTCCACATGGTGGTCACAACAGCGACGTTTTCCATCGCCATGTCTCCACAAATCTTGCGGAATAACCGGTAGTTCTCAAGTGAGACTCCGGACATGCGATGGTCTGAGATGCGGTAGGTGAAAACCACGCCTGCTACCTTCGTTTTGTTCTCGTACCTAGCGGGGACGATGAGCGCGCATGATGGAGAGAATAAGGTACAACCCACTCTGCCTTGAGAAAATCGGCAATTTCTCTCAACACATCTGCCTGCGGTCTTTCTGTATCGTCGAACCCAGGTGTGTCAATAATGGTAACAACCTCGTTATCGAGCTGAAGAGTCTCTTGTTGTATCGTTTCCGTGCAGGATTGAAGTCCGTGTCCAACTCTGAAGTCTGCACCGGTGGCGAGATTCGCGAACTGCGCAATCCCATTAGTCGACGGGGTTTCCAATCAATCGTATCCCATATTTAATACTTACTGTCGATTTGCCACTTCCGGTAGCACCCATAATGCTGCGATTTGCGCGTCGATATCATCGTAAGTCAAGTAGTTCGCATCATGATCGCGCCAGACACGCACATAATCAATTTGGGCTCTGCAGTAGGTGGATGGTCTGATGGCATGTTAAATATGGTGGCAGCGATGCGATAGAGGAACGAGAGCCGCTTGCTTCCGCTCAAAGCTACAGCGCTATTGTTTATAAGGGAGGACTACACAGTCCGATGCTCCTCAAACAGTGCCATAGGTGGTCCATGGGTGGACGCCATAGTCAAGGCAGTGGCTTCCATGCATCGGTAATTGAGATTGGACAGATTCGAATGCACCGAGTAGCCGGGCACAGCCGCAGCGCGAGGCGAGAGCACGTTGATAACAGCAAGCTTGTAAGGCTGAGGCTCAGCCACTGAGGACTAAGGTTCTGGACCTAGTGCAAAACCAGTCTTCGACATGGGAGAGTTTGGTCCACATCTGAGCTTATCTCGATTATATGGGCGTTAAGTGACATGCAGTGGACGCGCGAAAGGACACGAGTGAAGGTACCAAGCGACCATCGGATGCCGATGGCCACCAACCATGTTGCCGTCGTATCGTACATATTAAGCCATGAGGTCAAAGCATGAAACTCTGGCAAAAGGAGCGTGGATAGTAACGCACTATGCATGCGCTCCTGGACCTCGCCTCCTCCATAGTAACCACTCCTCACATACGCGAATATGCTGGGTCTTGCGCAACGGCGTCGACAACGAAAGCCAATCCGAATCGCGTAAGCTTCTTCCTCCGAGTGGAGACGAATGGGACACTCATGGATCTCAAAGGGTGATGGGTCCGACGGGAGTAGGCAAAACGACAGTATGTAACCATAACGTCACACTTCACGTCGCTCATACGAGACCCCAGTTCATAAACATTGCTAGTGGATCTCACCTTCGTGTCGGGCACACTCTAGTATCTGCCACAGAAAGTGTCGAGTCCTCTGTCGAGTTTTCGCTGGATGGGAATTGGATACAGCTTGTGGATACACCTGGCTTTGACGACACAACGAAATCTAATGCGGAGATCTTAAAAATCATAGCAGACTTCCTATCATCCTCGTGAGCTCTTCTCCCGGTTCCCGCTGATTCAACGCTCAAATCTGCCGGTCGCGCGTTAAAGATATCGCAAGAAGCATATGCTTCATGGCATAATCTATTTGCACCGCATTTCAGATAACAGGATGGGGGGGACAGCCATGCGGAACTTCAAGATGTTCCGACAGTTGTGCGGACAAGGTGCTCTGTCGAATAGCGTCATCGTGCTGAACATGTGGAATGAAGTCAGCTCGGAAGTACGGGAGGCGAGAGAGAAGGAGCTTTGTACCAAGGAAATTTTCTTCAAGCCCGTGCTGGATGCTGGCGCTCAGATGGCGCATCATGACAATTCGACAGGCTCCGCCCACGATATACTACGCTTGCTCACTGGGCGTGGACGAGTTCCGAAGCCGCTCCTGATCCAGAGGGAGATGGTCGACGACGGAAAGCTAGTGCGCGACACCTCCGCAGGGATCGAGCTCTTGGGAGACCTCGCGGCAGCAGAAAGGAAACATTCGAAGCAGCTGGAGGAGATGCAGAAAGACATGGAAGAAGCAATCCGAAAGAAAGATCTGGAGGAGCAAACGGAACTGGAGGATGCTCGTCGGCGGTTGGATGAGCTGAGGAGTAGGCTGACGCAGGAACAGAAGAGCATCCACACGCACGGAGAACCAGCCTCGCCACCGGATGAACAGTTTCGACCGAAGGCCCACGAGAAATTGATGAAAATGCTGCAGTCGGTGAAACAAAGTATTGGTGTTCTGCAAATATGGGCTCGGATGCGTCCTGTGCCGTAACGCAGTCTACTTGCGCAGCGCGTTGTCACCGATCATCCAGTCAAAGTCCAGAGAGCCGAAAAAAAGTCCGCTCAGATATGGCACGCTATGTGGAGCATGACTGTAGCATTTGTGTCGAGAGAGCGGCGGAGGAAGTGGAAGGCAGAGATACGCAGGCCACCATGACCGAATTTGATCGCTAAGGCTCGTATTCTCACCTTCATGCATGCAGCTTATTCAGGTTCTGCATATTTATGACATGATATTGATATGAATACTTAGTCCGTAGCATTCACGATACGCTCAACTTAGGATGACATGCACGCATCCATATGATATTATATGATATTATCGCATATGGTATTCGTCTACAATGGTTTTCTTGTCTCATAATCTCATCGAGTGCAGGCTAGCGGGACTTAATGACTTTTATATATTTCTGCTTCCGTGCCACGCCAAAACGCTCAAGGCTCTCAAACATTCAAGAATTTATAGTTTCGCCCAAATGTCAAGATCCCAGTTGAAAATGACATTAATTAAATCGGAAAACTAGGTCACTTGATGAATTGCATTGAAAATGTGTGAAGAAAGCTGAATTATGTGATTCATGCTAATCTAATCTATCTCATTTTTACTCATTGAATGACAAAGCTTCTGATTTTAATTCATCGAGTGACCCCAGTTTCTCGATTTAATTAATGTTATTTTCCATGGGGACAAGAACCGGGCGCACTGTTCTCAGCTTCACCTGACATCGTTTTAAAACACACACACACAACTCGCAACGTATGAATGGAAGCAAATCGAGTCATATTACAATGGCGCTCGTAAGAATAGGCGTACACAGCATGACGCATTATGGAAGATATACAAACATGAAGCTCTATACTTGTCATCGCGCTACACAAGGGTTAGAAGACGAAGTCGGCTTTTAAACAATCGGTCGTCAGGTGCATCAATATTCGCAGGACAGAAATATGTTGAGCGAGCGCGCAAAGCAGCACTATCGGATGTCGTCTCCTAACCTACACTGCCTGCGCACCGGTGTGAGCGTTGGGCGATCCTGCCATCGGCGCCGTTGCGGGATTCGGGCCCTTCTCTGATGCCATACCGGTACCACCTACACCGGAGGCGTTTCCAGCGCCAACACCTGACCCAACGCCAGCAGCTCCACGACCTCCGTGATCGACGTACTTCCCAGAGCTGAGGCCAAATATGGCGTAGTCAACGCTGCGGAGGTGGAAGAGGAAGAGCGCGAGGAAAACCGGACCCGACAAAATGTCTAAGATGCCGTACCAGATCATCTCAGACGTGACGGAGATGACATTGCTACCCTCGGCGAGGGCCCATGCCAAGGGGTACGTGAAAAGCATGAAGGATAAATAGGCCGCAGCTGAGTAATATCCTCGACGCATCGCACCGCCGGAAGCAAATGAAGCGGCCGGCGCGTGTAACAGGAGCGAGTACCTATTGACACGAGCGCTATCAGCGAGATACTGCCATGAGCGAGCCAGATAGCTTACCAAATATACAGAAGCGCGACGAGCCCGAAAGCATAGTAGCCCCACTTGTAACTACTAGGGACAAGCGCGCCGACGAGACCCATGATAACGAGAACGATACCCATGAAGATTGTCGTGAAGATATCGGAAAGCGAAACACCGGTAGCGAGCAGCAAAGACAGGAGCAGCAGGGGAAAGGTGATGAACCATTGAATATACCGGACAAACTACGACAGAAGGATCAGTCTACAAACTTGTCGTCTCGGCAAGACACTTACGAAGATTTGACGGGTACCGCTACCGCGGAATTCAACCACCACAGGAGTAGCACCTAAGTCAGATGCCATGGAAAAGTAGGCGATACTGGCTGTGATTAAAACGACAACGGCTATCTGATGGAAGAGGCGGGTACCCCGAGGCCTCTGGATAAAATGCTTGAGTATGTGCGATACCGAGGGTCCTAAAAACGTACCATGACGGTCGTTGCAATAGCTATGATCAACGATAAACCCATGATGGAAAAGACGGTCCAGAGCCAATCTGAGCCGTGGGTAGTGAGATGGAAGTTGGCATTGGGGGGGTTAACGTTGACGGCCTGGTTTCCACCCATGGCTGATGCAGTTGTCGAGTAGAGCGAAGGTGAGGTGCAGTGAGGTGAATGAGAAGGTCGGGGATCTAACCAAGGAGTTAGTTTGGAAGGAAGCCCCTGTTAGCTATAGGGTTATATATCGGCAGGGGACCGAGGCTGACTATAACAGCCGAGCAAACGCTGCTTACTCACAAAATCCGAGGCTCAAGGCGGGAGAAGGGCGGCTGAAATACGCGTTACCCAAGTCGGTAATAGTTGCAACAGGTAAAGTGAAAGTTGTTGGATTACAATTGTCAAGGATTTCTCGTGGACCGGGTACTACCTGGTCCACGAGAGATTCTTGACAAGAACATTCTGGTCCACCATCCTGTCCTCCCACAATGACACTGGCCAGGTTTGAACAACCTTCCGCAGTTGCTCGCCGAGATTTTAAAAAATAGTGGTACTACTTTACAGCTACAGACGGCTGGCCAGAACCCACCATCGGCTTTGCACGAGGAGGCGGCGAGGAGGCGGATCGAGAAAGGGGTGAGCACGTGACAGCTGTTTGAAGCCAGCGCCGATCGGACGGACATTTCCGAGGATATGGAGTGACGTCAGGCCCTACGAATCGCCCGCTTGGCCGCGGCGCCTGACTGCCTCCCAAGACGGTCCGCGGCTGCATTTGTCCTTGCGCTACCGTCGCCCCTTGCTAGCGGCCGAACATTGACCAGCGATATGAGCCTCGGCTATAACACTGCCGGAACAGCGACCGCCATTAATTTAGGAAATTAAGTAAGAGCCTCATCAGCGATGCGTGTAAAACCCACTGCGTATGTGATCAAACTTGATGACAGGGGAATGGAGATGCGGGGGATTCTAGGCTGCCATGTGCGAGCTATTGAAAATCGCAAGAGATGGGTAGTCAAATAAAGTCACCCCGTCTGACCTCCTGATCCTCCTGTTAACTGTGCCTTCGAACGGTGCATCGTCGCCTGGCTTGCTCCCACACATTGTAGATCGGGCGGGGAAGTGTACAGAGCGCCCGTAGTAATTGCGTCCGCTCCGCAGTCCTCTTCATACTGAACGTCCGACAACTAATGGCGATCGCGATCCACGTACCATTGCGCCCCATCTCACGGTAAAAATCGTAAGATGATTTGATTATTTTTTGATAGACCCTCAAGTACAAGTGCGAAGCTGAAGGCCTGTTCATACCTAGATCCACTCGTGGAAATAATTGCGTGAGCATAGAACTAATCCTTCAGCCAGACATGATGGCGAGACTGTGTGACATTGCGTACCCACACAACAAGGCCGTATGACGGGAGTCCTCCGGGATGTGTATGGCGAAGATAGAGCGCTGGACCGGTGGATCAGAGATTTCCAGAGCCGCGGATCTACGTACAAATGGCCGTTCATCTGATCAATGGATGGGAACGAGCGGTAATGCCGTTGGAACCGATGTCGGCCAGATTTAGCCAGACGAACTGTTATTCTTGACCTGACGTCTCCTGTACCTCTGGCAGACACCCATTGGCGGATACGAGGACACGTTCGGGCGAGCCTGCGACGCATGGTAGTACATTCTCATCCAATTCGCCCAATGTCAGCATTGCGGTGCAGATGTTCATGATTCAACCGGCGGTAGAGCGGAGGCGACACAAGGATAAGAATGGGGCAGTCGGAGCAAGCCAAGCGTCCCAGCCGAGCATGAGAGTTCGTAGCCTCGTGTCCGTCGGAGCAGTCAAGACAGCTACAAGGGCCGCCGGGACATGGGGGCCGCTTGGGGAATGAAATTACGGAGCCTTGCATCTAGAGGGAGCTGATTGGCTGTGCTAGGTACAATTGCAGTGTTGAATACAGCGAGTCCGCTGCGTTGACGCTCAGGTCCTTGGAGTGCTCCGCTGAACAGCGAAGGCGAGCTGGACACTGCATCGCTCTGATTTTCGACATGCATGAGATGGGCTGGCAGTGGGTTCCGGCGAACACTCACCGCAAGGAGGATATGAACAAGAAAGCGCTGAGAAGAGGCTCTGCGTATACGGCGATGGTGCAGTGGGGGCATCCCTGGGCATCCGAGTCAACGCTACGAGCGCCATGATGAGGAGAAAGACTGCGACCCTGCCTCAAGAGTCAGACTTGCGGGCGCTTCGCTCCTGCTCTGCAGTTCATATTCCGCCGCAGCCTGCCAGCTGCCCCCAAAAGCCTTTCTCCCGCATCCCGTTCCTTCTCTTCCACCGTCTCCTCCTACTCGCCATCGTCGCGACCGTCCTGCTCGAGCATCAAATACCGTATCTGCGCTCAAAACTTGCCTATTGTGGAATAGCTTGTCGGCTCGCTCACCCGCCCTCGCTTGTTTCTGCGATACTATCAGCTTCCATCACCACCACCGTCCCTGCTCTCTCAGTCCGCACAAGCCACTTCGATTCAGCGCGAACACTAGAAGCCTTAGTCTGCCTCTGGGAGGCCCTCGACCACACAGCGAATCACCAGTGCTTATCCGCGAATGGCCAAAAAGAACGCGATCATATTCGGTACATCATCTCCTCCCCACCCCCTTCCTTTCGCGCCCTTGCTGATGCAATCCTTTTGTTGGTGCAGGTGGGCTCAACACCTGCTCTCGGGCTATCGCTGCGTATCTCGTGCCCTCCGATGGCGAGTCCCTTGTCGAGGTCGGTCTTCTTGATGTCTATCTCGCAACTCGAAGCCCACCCACTTTCTGATCTCTTTCCTACTTCTCCACGAGCAGAATCTGCGCATCGTTGACAAGTACTCTGTTAACCCTCCGACGACCTACCTCGGCGCCGATTTTCGCAGAGTGCTTGAGCAGCCGAACGTTTCCTACCGCCAAGCCAACCTCACGGTCCCCGCCACCGTCGCGGCATGCTTTGATCCGCCCGAGGGCCAAGAGCCGTACTCATATGTCTTCGATCTTACGGGTGAAGTTCAATGGGACCGTCCGGAGAAAGTGCAGATCAACAACACCCTTCGTGTTGCTCGTCTCCTGGGACAGGAGGCTGCGCGCCGTGGCGTCCAGGCCTACGTCCGCATCATGCACCCTTATTATGAGTGCAAGGAGAAGGGTGCGCATGACGAGAAGGAGGATGTGAAGCCGGATGGTGTGTTGGGGACGTGGTGGCATGAGACATTGCGGACGCTCGGTGCAATTGAAGGGTGAGTGCGCACTTGCTATCCTTATATTTGAGCGTATCGCTGATGATGGGAATCGAAAGGCTCAATTTAGTTGTCGTGAGGAAGGCGTTAGTTTACGGACCATATGTCGACTATGGACGTGAGTCTGGCCAGTGAGCCGCTCTTATGTTGGCTGACCATGATTGGCAGCGATCATAAAGTATATTGCACTGGCAGCTGTCTATGGATATCTCAAGCAGCCTGTGAAGGCCTTGTGCGTATTCTCCTCCCTTCTTGATACGAACTGCACCTCATTGGCCTACAGGTGGTCTCCCGGAAAGCAGCCGTTGCACACAGTGCATGCCGATGACGTTGCTGGAGCGCTGTGGGCATGTGCGGAATGGATGGCGAGCACCGGTGGGCGAGAAAAAGCTGATGAACTTGCTGGCGAAGAGATTCCCTTCAAGAATGATAAGAGTAAGGTGAATGAAGTTGACGGCATGGTGTCTCCCACCCAGAAGGTTGTTGTGCCCCTGTTTAATCTTGTGGGTACTCTTGCTTGGAAGCGCATACATAGGATAATCGATAGTTTTTCACTCAATAGGAGGACGATGGCAAGCTATCGTTCTTGGAAGCTGCCACCAGGATCTCGAAAGCCTTCGGAACGACCTTCGAGTTCTACAGCTTTGTCGTCAATACTGTAGCAAAGGTGTGTGCTCTAAGATTGCATATCCTATAACATCCAACATGCTGATCGTATTCACAGTTCAAACTCGAAGATGTCGTGGAGGAAACGAATGAAGTCCACGTAGAAACATGGACTACAATGATCACCGAATCGAATCCGCCTTGCCTCAACACGCCCTATAGCCCGTACACTGATGTCTACAACCTCAAGCGTCACTGCGTCGCTTTCGATGCGTCGAAGTTGAAACGTATTGTCGGTTACAAGCTTCAATATCCGGAACTCACCGAGGACACAATACGTGACATCGTTGGCAAACTCAAAGCGGAGGGCACTTGGCCGAATTTTGATTCATGATTCTGCATGCGGCTGCAGGCCTGTCTCGGGACACTTTTTCATGACCTTCTCGCTGCTGGGCGCTGGATCCTAATGATGTTTATGATAATGCACGAATCCAGATGTGTTCTTATTGGTTTTTCACCATTTTTTATTCACAGGCATGTTGCTGTTCTACGTCATATCCTCCTATTACCTTACGTTCGCAGCGGATCCTTGTTTTGTGTCTTTTTGCTATCTGCGCTATAATACTGTCGCTGGCCTATGTGGCCATAATGTTCGGATAATGACAGAATGCAATCGCCACTACGGCTGACAGCGCCTTCGAGGGAATCAAGTGGTTGAGCTTCCTCGGGCGCCCACGCATAATTTTCGGCAATGGGCATCACCATGTATCATCATCTCAGTCTGCGTGATGAGTCCCTGCATGATGAGTCCATTGATGAATCTGACAAGTGGAGGTAATAAATATGTATCGGCACAGCAAAAAATACGGTAAGACTATGACGGGATCGGGGTGGACGGTACGGACAACGGCGGAGGGAGTTCCTTTGAGGCCCGTACCGGCGAGGGAGCGGGTGAAGGAAGAACCTCTGCAAGAAATCCTGGAAGGAATTTGCCAATCCTCTCCTCAGTAGCAGTCCACAGTTGCTTTTGTCGATCTTCGCGTTTATCCGGCTGTGAAGGCGGAACAAGTAACCCGGTCGCACTCATGACTAGTACAACGTTCTTGAGCGATTCGGGTATAGCTTCGCGCTGGTAGATGTCAATTGAAGGTTCCTGTGCATGGAATAATACACAACGCACCAGAGGGTCTCTGCGGTCGACATGCATGAGACGATCCAGTAGATCCAAGACTTGAATCCATAGATCGCGGATGTCGGTACTCTGTCCTTCCCGTGCCTCAAGATGCATGAAGGTCTTACATAGCAACGCAGACACGCGCAGACGAGTTTCCGGTAAGCTCATCGGATCGCGCATCAGGACGTGTGGTTTCAAGAGGTCATCCACGAGGGGGAACAGCACACGGCTGAATAATTCTTCGGTTTGGGCGTGATCTTGAATATCAAGGGGCAGATGCGGCCCTAAAAGGATCCGTTGGAGGTGCACCAGTGCAGCGTGTCTGACTTCCCTTGACACATTGATGCATTGTCGACCAAGACATAACACAAGTGGTAGGCAAAACTGTTGCCAAGCTGGGAGAGATCATGTCAAACACAGTGTATACCAATTGAGAAATACTGACTCTGATCCGCAGGTACTGAAGCATCAGCAAAACGTGCCCAGAATTTCTTTAGGTCTGCCAACATATCGATGGCCTTCCTACCACGATCCACCACTGGCGAACTGGTCGACTCATGAATAGGAAACTTCGATAAGCTTATCATGGCACTCACTTTGAAGCATTCAACGTCTGGTTGCGGCGTCCCTGTTGCTGGCTTTCTACAGCCACGCCAGCCGCAGTAGCAAACTCATCCAACGCTGCGATAAGACCGGGGAAGTTGTCCGGTGAGACTCGCTGCTCGGGGCCATCTCCGGCGAGCGCGGCGACCAATTCAAATGATTGGCGAGAAGCCTCTGGATGAGGAATTGTAGAGCGGATCAAAGCGAAGACAAGATTCCATTCTGTTGGTGAATTGGCAAGGTCCTTGCAGTTTCGCGCCAGCATAGACAGGCCGCCGACGACTTGCTCCGCTACAGCGCTTGAAACCGGAACAGGCAAACCTGCCAAAAGGTCGAACGAGACAAAGAGCTGATCTCTTAAAGACGGCTGGATTCGAAGTCAGCACTGATGACGGAAAATATGGTTGTTGATACCCACGATACTCGTAATGATGTTGCAAACCCGGAGTAAGCCAACAACTGCTCTTTCAATCAGGAGAATGCTATACTGCACCGGTGTCGACAGCAGCGCAGATAGATGTTCGAATATGATGGGCCTACAGGATCATCAGAAACCATACCTGTTATTGGAACCGACATACACACCAGAGGTCTTCGATGTATTGGGGCGTTTGACATGCGATGCTAACCATTGTCTCCAACAAAAACACCGAAGCAGGGTCGTACGGCAATGCATACGGGCCTTCCTGTGGCGTATTGTACCCTGAAGGGACATCATCTGATTCCTGCTTGAGACGTGCTACCGTTCGCTCGTGAGCGAGCGCCTCGAGAGCACGGACGGCGGCAACCAAAGCATTCAAGTCCAATTGCCTGCCCGATGGCAGTCAGTGGGATCCGATATATAGTAAAGAGTACGTACATAATTTGGCTGTATAGTTCGTCCAGTCGGCAGGAGGTTATGCAGTCGATAGTGGAGAGCGTCTTTTCCATGTCAGCATCCGTGGCTTCCGGGACCAACGTCTCGGTACTGGAGCCGTATGGTGTCATGAGATATGATGACAATGCCGACAGAAGACCGTCTGATCTTGGAGCAGGTCGAGCTGGCTGGCTTCTCCGCAAAGGAATGATTGAAACGCCACCCAGGAAGTCTTCCATCTGCAACATACGCGTAGGGAGAAGGGAATGCACGAACAACGTTTGAAACATCTCGAAAATCTGTCGAATTTTTCGAATTGAGTAAATTAGGACATTGGCGTCATATGGACTGACCTGAGTCCATCCTTCCCGTAAAGCATTGCCGTTCCCATTAACAATATTGAATAGGACAACGGCAGCCAATTGGCCTTTGAGGTTAGTCCCGAACTTCACTGACAGTGACGAGACCGTGACAGATTGACCGTCGATATCAAGTACGGGATAATTTGGAATTTGTGATGTCGACATCTCCGAGATTAAGCCAGTGGCTTGGGATAATTGCACGACAACATAGTCGAAGACGTCGGGCAAATCAAAGTGTCGCGCCAAAGTAGCGCATTGGCGGAAACCCGTAATGGCTCGCTCGATAATATAGTCGTCTTCAAATGTGATGAAAGCATACGCGATAGCCGAAACAACGGGCTTCCAGACGGTCTTGAACATGTCAATATCGAACTGAGACGAATTGCACATTATTAGATCACCTGGTAGATTGGTCGAGCGATGATCAGCAAGTTACTTTGCAGATGGGTGATCTCACCTGTTTGTCGGGCACGGGTCAACAACTCCTTCCATGCATATTCAAATCCGGCTTGACCAGTATGCTCCTCAGGCATAATAATCTCCCTTTTACGAATCGAGTCGTAAATAGCTTGCTAGAAACAGTATTAACTACGAGAAACGCGATAAATGTACTAGGTCTTACCAAATACTCGGGCGAGAAGTCGGTACCATCATTCACGCCTTTCAAATTGCGCTTGTAATCATCGATAGACATTCTTTTCTGGAAGTCTGTCAGAAAAGCTCATTCAATAAACACCATCCACTTACCCGAATTTGAGGGCTATGGAGGTCCGTGTTAAGCATGATAATCGAATACGCAAGGACGTAAACAGCATCCTGTGACTTGACCTCAGCTGAATTTACGATCAGCTCTATGAGGCGGTCATGACCAGGAAAACTGACCAGGTTGAGTAGAAATATACACCTCCGCAAATGTTTCAGTAATCCGATTGATTTGCTGCGATTCTCCGGGCAGCCGGAATGTCTCGAGGAGCTCACGCATAGCATCTGCAACCGATTTCTGGGCGGCGGTCAGGATACAAAGGCACTGGGAAGTAACAGATACCAACGTCTTTGAAATCAAACAAACCCATGAAGGCCTTCAGCACATCAATATTATCTGGCTTGGAGAGAAAGTCTCCCAGTAACCGTTTGTCGACTCGCGCAGAATTCTTCAAAAACTTGGCAAGACTCAGCGGGCGAGGCTCATTTGGATCGAGATAGATGAGTCTGTTCTCTTCCAGAAACGACAAGCCAGTCTTGGGCTTTGTATTAAAACGGGCCATACCCGTCAACACAAGCTTCTTGCGAGACTTGGTCAGCTGAAGGTCGTCTATAGATATGAGATCCTTCCGCAAAAGCGAATCAGCATCAGCTCAGAAAGACTAATCGTAGATTACTTACTGCTGGCCATTGGTCGCTATGCTAAACAAGTTGCATGTCAGAGGAAGTAAGTGAGGAGGATATTATGGTACCGACACCTTCCGCACGAGAAGCCATGTGGTTCACAAATGACAGTATAATATCTAGACATAGATCTTGTGCGTTCTGTTGTTGTACCTGCTGCCCCCCAATTGCTTGCGAGGGATAAATCCCCTAAATAGCATAAGCATTCCAGCGAGTGATGGAAGCTCTCAGCGCCCCATACCTTAGTAGCGAACTCAATGAGGCGCTCAAACATATTCTCGCAATTCATGTCGCAATCGTAATTGACGAATAGATCGACCATAAAACTAGGATGCCGCGAGATCTGACTTAGTGTCTCCAGGATCAATTCGCGAGTATCCCCACGAGCCGGCGCAACGAGAATCCGAGGGGTTGGGGGTGCCTTATCTGAATCCCCATCCAAGCCAGGCGGGATTGGTGTAGCTGGCCTCGGAGAAGCACTAGATGACTTGTTATTCGGTAGGCCCGCGTGTGACTTGGCGGAGGGCGGAGGGGCAAGTCGGTCAATGGTGAATGCTAGGAAAAGTTCCTGCTGTAGTTTGAGCTTTCTTCGCATGGTTTCGAACATGGTGGATGTGGTGCGCAATGTAGTTTGTAGCACAGCCGAGTTGTCCGAACGCGCTAGTTGGAAGAGGAACTTGCAACCTTGGTCGACGACGAGGGCACATAAGGAGGGGAATTCGCATATTCGAGAACCCGACGCTTCAAATATCACGTTAAGAATGCGAAGAGCTGTAAGACGTATTGAGTCGGTATGCAGTTGGTCGTTCGGATCCAAGACATGGATAATGACCCTCAAGAGTTCAATGATGGAAGCCAGTCCGTCTGATGAAAGCAATTAACAGAAGTGCGTCAGCATAAATAGACAAATGCCTACATTGATGTCTAATCTGGCGAGACGGTGGCGTTACAGGACCTTGCTGATCCTCCACCGCTTGTTCACTCTTGGTATCTGAATCATGTTCTACGCTAGATGATACGCTTTCCGTAGGAAGCATAGTAGTAGGAAGACTCATTCTTCCCTCTTGTTCGTCAGCATCGTAGCCGTTGTCAGACAGCTGCCCCTCTTCGGTAGCAGGGTCCAGAACATGCAGGCGTGAGCACACTGTCCACACTAGAGAATGCATTGTCGCCTCCGCAGAACGTCGCAATATCTCTTGAAGCTAATTCAGTAAACTGCGATTTATGCTAGCAAGAACCTACCGCTTAGCCGCGCCTGACAGCACGTAGTCAAAACTGTCTCCAGCATTTCACATACTTCAATGTCCCCCAGTGTTGGGCCGACGGGTCCACAAATAGCGTCCTGGATAACAGCCATGATCTTGAGAAGAACGACTTCATCACCAGATGAGTCGCTGGTCTCGAATTTACACCTGGAGATCGCGCTGCTGAGTTCAGCGAGTGTATTCCTAAGAGCAATCGAGGAAGAACTAATGAGGCTGCAGACGAAGAAGCTGTGCAGCGCAGTCAGTGCAGCAGATGTAATAGGCCCCGTAGAGAGTGGGCTTCGAATGATGGCAAAGAACGGTCCAAGGATAGTTGGAAGCGGTAATGACTGTACATCTTGGACAGTTTCAGCTCACATCGAAGAGCTCCATGATAACCGACCGCTCGCACCTTCGGTATCCTTCACAAGTCGCTTCAGGTCTTGGAACCCGCTCATCAAGTCCTGCTCGGTGTTTCCACGATGCGAGGTATTGCCCTCTGAGCTGTATTGCACTCTCCGGAGACCCATACTGCTAGCAAGTGCTGATTGTCGCGTGCTGAAAGAATGTGTCGGCAGAGCCCATCGAGAGTTCTTGCGCATTATTGAAGTAACAGACAGGATTTCGGATAGTAGAATGTGTCGCATTGACACTGACTCAGTGCATGGCGCATTTTCAGGACTAGAAGTATTCATCGTAGAATGTAGAAGACTACAGCCCGAGCTCAAATGAGAGCTATATGGGCGTCGGTCGCCGCTCCGGAAACGAGCGCTAGATGTATTGCGAACGTGTTCACTCACGATCAGTCTGGTGGCGCTTTGACGGAAACGCCCGCACGCCCGTGTTACTGGGCAAATTCATCATTTGTGCACTTGTCGATTTTAGATAACTAACAGTGACCGCGCTAGATGAAGCAGCACATAGGCTACTCCATAGGATAACTACATTCTATCTGACATATCAATACAAGTATCCATTTATTGCACTCTCTGCTGTTTGATTGTGTCCAGCAATTCACCTTGAATGTCATGCTGCCACGCCTTTAGCTTCGCCTCTCCGCCACTGTCTGCCGCCAAACACATCACGGAGGACTCCCCCACCAATCTCAGCCATTGCTCTCCGACTCTCCCATAGCGGTAAGACTGATGTGATGAATGCGGCAATAAAGAGCCAGATCACGCAAATGATGACCCACGCCTTGAAGAACTTTAGCGAGAACACGTAGTGCGACAGGAACATGGGTATTGGTATGAGCTAGAGGCGCATAGGAGATCAGATGACAAGTGACATAGGCTCAGCTGGACTTTGAGACTCACGAAGATAATGACAAAGGTCATACTAAATGATAGCCATGTCGCGATTTTCAGGGACTTCCGCAGCGTCTCATAGTCCTCCGGCTGCTCCACTACTGAGGCTTCCTCACCGATGGTCGAAGCCCGTGCCAGCACTTCGGTTTTCTCGTTATCTTTCTCAGATGCCTTCTCAGAGGAAGGCTCATCGCTGTTACGAGAGCTCGTTTGCTCCGCTCGTCGCCGCTCTTGATCGAGTGCTCGTCCACGAGGATTAATCTTCTTCGTCTCCGACCAGTCAAATTCATTGTCCGGCTTCAACAGAGTGACAATGACGGATATGAGAGTCCCAGAGCAGCACGAGCCCATATTTCCGGCGAGATTAGGGTACATCTGGCCTAGCGTTTCCAACTGTCAGATATGTAACATATGATGCATTCAAAAGATGAACACACCCGTCGTTTCAATAGTCAGCGACCCGTAGTATGTCTTTGCGACTACTAACCAACAGATTACACCAATACACAACCCACCAAGTGCTCCACTGATCACAGCGGCACGAGTTTGTTGGCGCCACAAGACGCTCAGAATAATGGGCCCAACAGCCGCCGTATACAAAGTGCCCGAAAAGAGGAACAGCCAGTTGAGCGAGATCCCGATGCCGTTCCATAGACAAGCGACGCAAGACATTACAATGGCCCACACGCCAACCATGATGTGTGAAACACGAATTAGGACCTCAGGGGAAGCCTGGATTATGGTTAAGACACAATTCATTCGAGTGGCAAACAAATGGGATGAACGCACATCCGGCTTGAAGTGGATCTGGTATAGGTCAAACGTGAGGATGGAAGACGTAGCAATCATCTCGGAAGATGCTGCCGATGTCACAGCCATGAAGAGCAGGATCAACTATCACAAGCTCAGGAAAATCGAAACCCTGATCAACCTGAACCTTGCCTACCATTGCAATTGCACCGCCTTTGCCGAGCAATGTCACAACGCCTGCAGGAGATGTGAGTCCAGCGTCAATTTCGGCAGTGGTCAGCCCGCCTGGGTAAGGGAACGCAGGATCTAACGACGGGGTTAGATCATGAGAGTGATCAAATCAAAGCACCAAACTCACTGGTCGCAAGTGCAACAGCGGCAAGTCCCATAACCGTTGAGAATGTTAAAGGGACGGCAAACCACGCGATGCCACCCATCAGATATGCCCGGACAGCGGTCTTGGCTTTGGATGCGATTGCTCTTTGCCAGTATCCCTATCGACAGTTGAAATTACCGTGACATGGCAAACAGATTGATTTTGATGTTACCTGATCTAACATCACCGTGCCTAATCCACCGAAGATCTGGATCACCATGAAAACAAGTCCATCTGACAATGACAATTTGTCGTGGACCCATAGATTAAGAAAGTCAAAAATGCTTACAATTGGACTTCAGCGTCATGTACGAGCCCTCGGCGTTTCCTGCCACTGGGCGCTCTACAGCGGCCTGTTGGAGTAGGTGATACATCCCCTCCATCCCGCCAATCAACTGAGCCTCAGAGTAGGTATAGAAAAAGAAGTAGAGTATAATGATCATGAGGATAAGTGTGTGTGAGTAGTCACCTGTGAAAAATTGTGAGTCTGATGTGTATAATTGTGGCAAGACATATACCCACACAAAAACGTAGCGCGAAGACCTCCGAGAATAACATAAACCCCAACGCCAATGGGAATAAGGAAGTTGGCTGCATAGATGTTCATTCCCGTGAACGCATTCACAACAGCACTCCCCCCGAGGAGTAGTTCGCTAGATACGATCAAATTTGTCACGAGTCCAAACGCCACAAACATAAAGTGTGCGGCATCCCCATAGCGGGCATGGACGATTTCCAAATAGGTATGGCAGTACGGAGCGATCATTTTGACGCGGACGGCAAGGGCAGCCATCAAGAATATCTGGAGTGTCGCGCCGGCTGCATAGTAATAACCACCGCAGAGGCCGTACTCGTACGTGACGGTTGAGCTCTGCAGCAACGTTGCGGCCCAGGTCCATGCAGAGACGATACCAGAGGCAATGAGGCCGGGCTTGACGGAGCGCGATGCGGTATTGAACTCCTCCGATGTCGCAATCTTGTAGCTCGTGTATCGGTTCTGAATGGTCGAGAGTCCCATCATAATGAGAGCAAAGACGAAGCCGATACCAAGAACAACGCCATAGCCTATGCCTTGAGAGAGAACATGGGCCCCCTCTGTGGCAGACATGATGAAGGTCGAAACTGCGGTTGGCTGAAAGGCACCAGAGAAGACATTGGTGCTTCTTGGTATAAGAGCGACTCCACGACGGCGCTCTATCAGTGAAGATGCTTATCGAGGGTGCTTGAAAGATAAGAAAGTGTAGCAGGGGTGAGAAAACTAGTAGTTGGAGTTCCTTCCATCATTCAGCGGAACATCTCTGGAGCTAAATAGGCGTCTAGGAGATGGTGAACGATGTGGTAATGGATCACTGGAGACATTTCGCGCACTCACTTGTCCGAGCCTGCATGCAAGCAAACGTACTACAAAGAAGACAGAACTCATCAAATACTCATCCTGCCGTTGAGCACACGGACCGTAAATAGAGCTTACACCATGGCGTATGCAAGGTTACGCGCTTATCGCCAGACATTCAAATTGCGCCCTCGTGTAGGCAAAGGATTCGTCCGATGCTTCTTGAGACCGTGATCTGGAGCTACAGACTGTATATAAGGAAAGGGATTTCCTGGGAAGAAGCGCCGTTCGTGTGGCGTCTTGTCAAGGATAGATAGCAGTTATCGACAGCATGCGACTGGGTGGCCACTGGCGATACAAGCCTCGGATTCGGCTGGTGTTTCCAATGGACGACGGCATTCGCTCGTGCGGGAGCTGTAGGACGTCGCTCGTCGATCAGTCGGAATCAAATAGTCGTGATGGGATTTCTTACATAATCATGCGAGGAGATAAGATTAGATGAGCTCGATTTCGGATGACGTTTCTCGCCGCCGCGGCAGTTGGGCGGCGCGCGCTGTGCAGTTCAGCCAACTTTCACAGACCCCTCTTTCTATGTCTTTGGCACGCGTCGGACTAGGGACACTGCCAAAGGGAATACGACACAGATGCGCAAGCACCACCCCACATAGAGCCTTCGCAGGCCCGAGAGCCTACTCTGACTGCAATTCTGCCACTAAAGTCGCGGCCGTGGAGAGCCAGGGGAGCGACGTATGTAGCCGTCTTCCGGTCTTCACCACGAGTTTGAATCTGACGTATTAAAGACAAACGAGGGTTGGCTATTTGTTGATTCCGTCTTCCCCGTTCGTCTGGGCACTTGGGAGTGTGTCTTGAACATCGTCTGGCGCGTGTCTAGTGACTCACGCACTCTCTAGTATACGTCGATATATAGGCTACTTTCGTCAAGAAGAACTTCTAGAACGCGTACATTCCCTACTCTCAGATGTCAAAACACACGACTTCCGTGTAGTCTCCCTAGACCCACATGACAAGGACGGCGGCGTCTTCGTGCACTTCAGATATCGTGGCGGCGAACAAGACTCTGCATTACAAGCAATTATCGAGAGCTTGCGTGGTAATGTGCTTAAGGCTGGAGGTGTGCCTTCCTGGGCTGGAATCTCGAGGGGTGACGTCTGGTTAGTGAAAGGCAGGCCATGGCGCGAGGTACGCTCTATTTGGGAACCGTCCACTGTTCCTTATCGTAAGACCTGTAGGACATGAACAGATATGCTTCGCCTATATTGAAGGTTGCCTTTGACGGTCCGGATGTGCCCGAAGAGACCCTCTACAATATTCTTCGCGTACGTTACGCCCAACTATAGTATTCACCGACGCTCCTTGATGCTGAATGGTTTAGCCTTATGGCCGCATACAAGACCTAACACAGCCCTCTCCGTCTTCCATTTCCGGAGGACTTCGATTTTCCACTGTGACCTTCATGCGCGTTCGTTCAGCAACAGTAGCTCGCAACGCCATTCATGGCGCACATATTTCTCCTACTGGCACGACACTGCGGACGATGTACGAGGCACCAGTACAAGCACACGTCTTCAGAGACTATATCGCTAGTCATCCCCGTATCTTTCTACCCGTATTGTTCTTCCTGCTTGGTACCCTTACCTACACGGTTAGCTTGACACCTTCCTCCAATGAACACGCAGACCTAATATGTTACTACATGTTGCAGATCTTTGATCCAGTCCGTGTTTTTATGGTCGAAGGCAAGCTTGAGGGTTGGTTCAACATCCGCGGTACGTGTCAGCTGCATACATTGTACGGATTCAGTCATATATTTACCTCAAACAGAGTTCCAGCTTTATAAATGGCTCCGTCACACTGCACTCGACAAATTATATCTAACATCAAACTCGGAAGATGGTGAGCCTACGATCACACCTGCTGAAGATGTCTGGAGAGAACGTCGGGAGGCGGAGAGCGCGCTAGAACGATACCTCACCGATCTTCCTAGTGCGCATATATCCATTTCAAAAGAAATCCATATATATTGAATCACGATCACAGCTACAATAACTTTCCTCCATGGCCCACAGGGCAGTGGAAAATCCCGCATGATTGCGGCAGCACTGAAAGACACGGGCCGGTTAGTTGTGTTCTTTCAAACGTTCGTAGACTGTATGCTCAGTATCTCACAGGAAGTCACTAGTTATTGACGTTGCCGAGATTTCCAAGGCAAGTTCTGACATGACACTTGTATCAAAGCTTGCGCAAGAAACCGGATACTGGCCTGTGTTCTCTGTATTCAATTCGCTCAACAACCTCATTGATCTCGCGAGCGTTGGGTTGATCGGCCAGAAAGGTATCTTCTAGCAGTAGTCTCTCTCGCCATAACCTGACAATTTTCTGTAGCTGGCCTAAGTTCCTCACTCACTGACCAGCTTAAACAAGTGCTGGAAGTCGTTGGCACAGGTCTCGCACGAGTGAACACCACACATCACAAGCGGCACGAGCGCTCTTTAAAGCAAGCACAGCTGGATGAGCTCAAACGCAAGGAGGATGCTCGACGGCGACAATTGATCCGCGAGGGACGATGGCATGACGGGCGGTTGGATTGCGTGGCGGGAAACGGCGTCATGAGCGAACTTGGCATCGGCGACGAAAGATTCGACGATATAGATGTTATTGAGGTTAGTGCTTTGAGCGCTGATGGCGGGGAAAGGTCCGAAAAAAATGACGTCGGAAAGAAAGTGGACGAGAAGCTCCCCGGTGCGGAGGACATGCAAACCATAGAGGCAATGCCAATAGTTATCATCAAGGGGTTCGAGTCGAAGGGGGGAGGCGCAAAGAGGCAGGAGATGCTGGATGTACTTGCTAATTGGGCTGCAACTCTGGCGCAGAATAAGGTGAGAGTTGTGTGTGGCACCGAATTTGGACTTGAAGTACTCAGTGCACCCATAGGTTGCGCATGTTGTGGTTGTGAGCGATAACCGCGAGAACGCGAAGAGATTGGCTCAAGGTATGTGCATTTATCTCACGTCGAAGGGGGTCTGATGCATTCTATAAAGCACTTCCGTCGCAGCCACTCAATCTTATCTCTCTCTCCGACGCAGACAGATCAAGTGCACTATCCTTTGTGAAACAAAAACTTCGCGATGCCGGTGTAGACATCAACTTCAATGCGCAGCAAAGATCTCACGTTGAACGTCTCGGCGGCAGGGCGAGCGATCTCGAAACTGTAAGCTTCATTGCGTTCAGTCATAGTTTCATTAAATTTGACACCAATCAAACAGCTAGTTCACAAAGTCAGAAGTGGTCAGGGCGTCGAGGATGCCGTTGAGGACATCATAACTCGCGGAGTCAGCGAGATTCGCAAGAATGCGTTCGGCGATGATCTAGAGGATGCAAAGAGTTTACTCTGGACTCGAGAGCAGGCTTGGATACTGATGAAAAAGTTGTCGAAGCAGCCGGAGGTCCGTACATTTTGATCTCACTTAACTTGAGGTGGGTGTATGCTCACATCTAGTTGTTGGCAGATCTCCTACTACGACGCACTCTTGGATTTCCCCTTTAAGAATGACGAGACTGCTCTACGGCACATGGAGCACGCGGAGCTTATTGCAATTGGCACTGAAAACGGTTTGTGTGTGCTGAGAGAATCTGGTCGTCATATTAACTGGCCGATACAGGACGGCCTTCGACAATCAAACCTGGAAAACCAGTGTATAAGTTTGTCTTTGAGCGGTTGGTTCAAGGTCAGCTGGCTTCTAACACAAACGTGGCACTTGTGATTTAACAATAGGAACAGATGCTGTTTTCCGAGCCATCCAGGATATAGCATTTAATGAGAAAATAATTGCTGCCTCCGAAAGCACTGTCAAATCTTGCGAGCAAGAGCTTCTCACCTTGAAAGATGTCGACGCAGGGACCGCTGACTGGTGGGGCTCGCGAACGGCTGTCAGGGAGCGCAGTAACTACCTACTCAAGAAGATGCGCCTAGCGGAAGAGAAAGTCGAGCTCTTGGAGAAGCAAAACGCAAATTTGAAGAAGATACTGTCAAAATAACGGCAGATTCGAAAACCCGCAAGAGCGAAGGTTGGATAGTGTTTTCGCTCATAGGGGACTACGGCAGGTATGATTAGCAGGACATATATATCCACCTTTTTTGTCTTTAGCGGCTACGTTCCTTGTCCCAAAGGATCTCACACACGGCCGACACAATATTCGGGTATATGTAGTGGACGCAAGGCATCGTTCTTGCTCATAACCAATCCTACGCACATGAGCGCACGAGCACGCGATGCATAGTGCTTGAGCCTGACGAAGGAATGTACCTACCTATCTACTAGCGAGACAATCAATAAGCAATATGCATGGGCCTTCAGCCCAACTAAACAAGTCCTATATATGCTCTACCTACCAAGATGCCAATGATGATGGATGATGTGTGGCCTTGAGCCTGTGAGAGATACCGAGAGCGAGCAAACAGCGAGCTAATGTAAACAATAATAGTGTGATGACAACGGGTGGCACGATTATGATACTGAGACTTGGTATGACACGATGCAGCACAATGAAGGATCGGAGAAAGGAAAAGGAAAGGGAGCAGGGAACGTTGTTGACGAGTGTTGAATTTATCAGCGCTTGCCGCCGCGCCTTGTGGGCAATTTCTTCACTGGCCTACCGCCGGGACCAGATCCCTGTGATGGTGCCGAAGTGGAGCCCATCACAAATAATGCACCGCCAGCAGCAGAAGCTTCTGGTGCACCAAATGGAGAAGCGGGCGCTTGTCCAGTTGCAGGACTCGATTGACCAAAGGCGAATGCAGGGTTGGACGCCCCTGAGGCCGATGGGAGACCACCACCTGTGCTAGCTGGAGAAGCTGGTTGACTTCCGAATGCGAATGGATTGGAGGGAGCAGTCGCTGACGTCGGCGTAGCACCAAAAGAGAATGCAGGTGTAGAGCCAAATGTGGAAGGACTGGCGGGTGTGGAGCTAGTATTCACCGTCTGACCAAAGGTGTTTGTTGCTGGTGTGCCAAATGTGAAAGCAGCAGTACCAGTGGGCGTCGCAGGTTGCTGTCCAAATGTAGTCGACGATCCGAATGGACTGGCCGACGCAGGAGGGGCCTCTGAGGTCTTCTGTCCGAACGGAAAACCGGGCGCGCCTGATTGGCTAAATCCACTGAAACCTAGTGTCGGTTTAATTTCCGGCTTGGGCTCAGGCTTTGCACCGAAAGGATTTGTTGAACTCGGGGGTGCACCAAACGAAAATGATGCTGTACTGTTCTGACCACCCTGCCCAAACGGCGAGCTGACCGAACCCGCACTTGGTGCACCAAAGGTGAATCCGGTAGTAAGCTTAAGTGGCTCCTTGTGACCGTTGTTCGTATCCATTCCATTCGCACGAGTAGGGCTTTCGTCCATATTTACCTCTTGGTCGTTATGAGGAGGTGTGGCCGGCCTTGCAGGTTGGGCCGCAACACCGAACGAGAAAGGATGGCTAGAGACATCAGCCCCATTACTGCTGCTAGGAGCGGCGAACAATATTGGACTGGGTGTCGATGAGACATGCTGGGTAGGCGCTCCGAATGTGAAACTTGGCTTATCAGCTGTTAGAGCAGACGATGTAGAAGCCGGAGCACCAAATGAGAAGGTCGACTTGATAGGGGCGGGACTCTCTTTGGGCGTGGAAGACGTAGCAGACGACCCAAAGCTGAACGCAGTTGAACTTCCTGTACCAAACACAGGTTTTGGAGCTTCCAAAACTGGGGTGATGGAAGTAGGAGTAACAGCAGGTGGTCCAAAGGTAAATGAAGGTTTCGCCGGCTCGGCATTACTGCCCGTGGAACTGTTAGTAGAGCCACCAAACCCTGCGAATGATGGCGTGGATGATACATTGCCAAATAACGATGGTTTCGATGCCTCACTGGGCTCCGGGGCTTTAGCCTCCGAAGGCTTTGAACCTGGCTGAGGACCAAAGACGAATGGCTTGGGAGCATTAGTTGCCTCCGCTATCTTTGTAGTTGTAGTCAAAGAGAAGGGTAACGACGCCACGGGACCCGTACTGCTTGTTGTCGTGGGCGCGGCAAAACTGAAGGGGAGCGAGCTTGTGGCACCATTCGTTTCTGCAGCTTTAGCTGGAGCATCAAATGTGAAAGGAGATGAAGGTTTAGGAGTCTCTGACACATTAGCAGAAAAGTTGCCGAAGCTGAAGGTAGAGGGCGCCGTAGAGCTTCCAGCCTCAGTAGGTTTAGCGGGTGCATCAAAGCCGATATGCATAGGAGCACTGGGAGTAGGCTGTACCACTGGCTTCTCTGAACTACTAGTAGCACCCAATGCCGATGCTGCGTCTTGGGAAGACGTGATCGACGAACTAGTAGCTGTGTCTGCATTGGTCGACGGTGATCCGGTCTTTGCAACTGAGATAAGCGCAGGGGCAGGAAGGTCAGCAGTAGCGGCTGCAGGAAGACTCCATGCAATGGCAGTCGGAGGCGCTTCGATGGTACCAGACAACGCAGGCTGTAATTTCGCAGTGATAGGTGCGACAGGTGACATGCTACTATCCTTGGGATTCTCAGACTCCGGTGATTTGGAAAACAGCGGTGTCGTTGCTACAAGTGGACCTGAGGTCACACTTGGCTTAGAGAAGATTGAGGAGTTGGCAAAGAAGTTTGGAATTGAAGGCTGCGCGACATCGCTATTTGTGCTGGAACTTTCGTTCGTTAGGCTTAGCTTGCCTAGAGGCGCCGGAGGGCCAGGGGTGGGTGGTATCAAAGCTATCTTCGGCACAATTTCCGGGGCAGCAGGAGCGGAAGCAAGAGCCTCTGATTGTAAATCGATAGCCGGTACCAGAGACGATGCACCAATGGTTGGACGATCTGCCGGTGGTCCGCCTTTCTGTTCTTGAACCCGGTTTGACACTTGGGGTTCAGTAAGACGACTGGGTGTACTCAATGAGAAAGGAAGTGTAACAATTGGTGGCTCCTTCGCGCCGCTCGTATCCAACTTTAGCGGAGCCTGTGGGGCTTATCAGCTCAAAAATGCTATTGAACTTGGACCATAGACTTACATCCTTGGCAAAGCTGAATCCTACAGGTGGCTGGAAGAAAGGTGCCTTCGCCCCAGAATTCTCGAAAGTATTATCCTCTGAGGTGAACATCTGATCATCCGCGTCATCATCGTCAAAGACAGCCGAAAATTTGTTTTTAGACCGTAAAAGGGGCGTGGCATGACTTCTTGATATCCTAGTACGCCCGACACGTAAAGATGATTGACCTTTGTTCACGGGAAGGGACGAGAAATCTGGCACAGTGAGACGCGAAAGTGCAGGAGGTTCCGGAGCTTTGCTTTGTTTCGCTCCACCTTTCTTGCGACTTTCTGTGATTTGAGCAGGGAAAATGCGCTCATCATTATCATCGGATTCCATAGCATTTTCGTGCTCCTCTTGTTTGTCTTCGTCTTCCTCCATTCGTCTCCTCGCGAGGAGTTTTCGCATTCCGCCTTGTCCCGCATAGGGCTTGTTGCCCGCACCGTCATCCCTAACACCTCTTCTGCTCTTTTTACCAGACATACCGAGACGCGGCTCGTCTTCTTGATTCCTGGTCATCAGAATTGGGATGGGAAGCTTCTTAGACTTAAACATATCGGGGACGGTAGCAGATCCACGCAGGCGTGTCGGCAGGAGAGGCGTTTTGTAGACATCAAGGTCATGTAGGGCTTTCTCCGCGGCATTAGTCGGGCGACCGTACCCTGAGTGGTTGAAGCCGGGTCAGCAAGGAGCTAAAAAAGCTTAGTGAACTACTTGCCACCAGTATCTGTGTTGTCAGGTAAATTCCCCGCTCGTCCTATCCGCAGAGTAGTATGCTGACTGAGAGGAGAACGACTCTACGAGTAATGTCAGTGTGTTATGAATACAACTGAGATCTGCCACACACCCTTGCATCGGCCAAAGACCCGAGCGTAATTGTAGGGTCCTGTGAAAGCGGTCGAGGCTGATATTGCGTCGGAGGAGGTTTCACAAACACCGGATTTGACATAAGGCTTGACAATGGGGGAGGCTCTGTAGGATTACGCTCCCGGTGTGGCACGGCTGGTCCAAATGTCTGTCCAGATGGTTGCGGGGTAAGAGAAGTTCGGGAGCGCATATTAAAGCGACGGGAAGGCGACATGGTAACTTCACGAGAAGGGCCCGAAGGATATGCGGAGTCCATTGACGCGTCGCGAGACAGGGAGGATGGCTGGTACGCCGCGAATCGAGGAGGATCCAAAGACATGGTACGTGTAATACCGCCCGCAGGGGAGAACGAATGATGGGCGGGTCGAGAGGGACCAAATCCATTGCTCTGTACCTGACTTGAGTGTGGCAAGGCGGCAGAAGAAGAACGGCCATAAGTGGGAGCAGGGCGATTGCGAGCCGGGGGAGCACCGAGCATAACATCGGGCACATCGAGGTAGTTTACGGGCGCATTGTGGCGATCCTGTGGCGGATGGGAAGGGGAGGGCTCTGGGCTTTCCACACGCTTCCTCTTCGCCCTGCTCTTCCCCTGCTCGTCCGTACGATCCTCAGATATCGCATCCTGTTTTCGCCGCCTTTTCCCTGTATTATCCTCGAAATCATCCTGCTGAATATCCTGTTGCTGGGCGGTGAACCATGTGAATGGCGACGATATGAAGTTTTTGATAGAGCCTATCAGAGATGTGGAACGAACGAGAGGTTTAGCATGAGTGGGAGTCTGGGCGCGTCGGTCAGAGCGATGAGACCGTCTGAGTGGAGTACGGGGAGCCATAGAAAAAAGAAACAGGCGGAAAATATGGAGGAGACTTATGAGGCCTCCCCGCCTGGCCAAAGCGGGCTGATGTCAACGCTGCCTCAAAGTCAGTGGGGCAGGCGCGGGTGCGTGACCTCCATCCCGTGATTCGTCACACCGTGTTACCCATGCACGCGACGCGTCGTGCGCGACCTTGTATTCTCGCTACTTCGAGACAAGGACAAAAGGACCTGCGCGCAGATCGCCCGGTGCTGCTATCAACAATAAGGCTTCCGATAGCTGTATTGGCGGCTCTATATCGAGAAACTTCTACTTTCCTCGTACCGGACTACGGTGCCGAATGCCTCGAGAAATAGTCACTGTTCAGTTGGGCCAATGCGGTAACCAAAGTGCGAGTTTACGACTACGTGCCAGAGCCAGATATATCTGACCAGGTGTGCTCAGTGGGTTCCGTGTATTGGCAACGTTTGTGCGCTGAACACGGCATTAACAAAGAAGGTATCCTAGAGGAGTGGGCCACTGAGGGCGGCGATCGCAAGGATGTTTTCTTCTATCAAGCAGACGATGAGCATTACATCCCACGTGCAATTCTAGTTGATTTGGAGCCTCGAGTACGCACATGAGTAATTCCTCCTGTTGTCTTATCTAGAAACCAATCATGCCCCTCGGCTGAATAGGTGATTAACGGGATTCTCTCTTCGCCGTATGCAAATCTCTATAACCCTGAGAATATTTTTGTATCTCAAGATGGAGGCGGTGCAGGAAATAACTGGGCTCAAGGGTACGCTGCGGGGGAGCGAATATATGAGGAAGTGATGGAAATGGTAGATCGGGAAGCGGAAGGGAGCGATTCTCTGGAAGTACGTCTTCCAACTTGCTACGCGAACCTGATCTCATTAATAACAGGGCTTCATGTTGATGCACTCAATAGCTGGTGGTACTGGATCAGGACTGGGCTCATTCTTGTTAGAGCGGCTAAATGACAAGTTTCCCAAGAAGCTGATTCAGACCTACTCGGTCTTTCCGAACGCACAAGAGGGAGATGTCGTCGTACAACCATACAATGCGTTGCTAACGCTTAAACGCCTTACGAACCATGCTGACTCCGTAGTCGTTCTCGACAATGGTGCTCTTGCGCGGATTTCCGCCGACAGGCTGCATGTCCAGACACCCTCATTTGATCAAACGAATCAACTAGTGAGTACTTGACACCTTACTGTTCGCGCACTTAACCTTCCGAGCAGGTGTCAACTGTCATAGCAGCTAGTACACAAACACTACGATACCCCGGATACATGAATAACGACCTCGTCGGTATCATTGCTTCACTCATCCCAACTCCCCGATGCCACTTCCTTATGACCTCTTATACACCATTCACAAGCGACCAGATTGACAAGGTAAAACTTAGTCGCGCGTCTTTAGTGAAGGATCTTTACGTTCCGTCTCGTGAATTACTAGGCCAAACCAATCAGAAGGACCACGGTGTTGGATGTAATGCGACGACTTCTTCAACCCAAGAACCGCATGGTTTCGACAACACCCAGCAAGACTGCATGCTATATATCCATACTAAACATTATTCAAGGGGATGTAGACCCCACCGATGTATGTGATCGAACAAGTATCCCTCTAAAGGCTGCTGAAAATGAAACCTCTGCTCAGGTTCATCAATCGCTACTGCGCATACGAGAACGGCAGCTCGCAAACTTCATTCCGTGGGGTCCCGCATCGATTCAAGTAGCATTGACACGCAAATCGCCATACATCGCGACGAACCACCGTGTAAGCGGTCTGATGCTGGCTAACCACACCAGCATTGCTTCCGTACGTACATTTGATATGATATTGAACTATTTTGTGATCGTCGCGTTCTAGCTCTTCAAGCGCATGATCGATCAATTCGACCGATTGCGGAGACGGAATGCCTTCTTGGAGCAGTACAAGAAAGAGAAGATGTTTGAGAATGGATTGGAGGAATTTGATGATGCAAGGTAAGATGGATAGGTTTGCTGTGCTCGTGAGGCTCATTTGCTGTTGCAGAGCTACCGCTGAAGAGCTGCTGAAAGAGTATAAGGCTTGCGAGAGTCCTGACTATATTACTTACGTACGTGCGCCCTCCTCTTCTCAATAGGTCGTATTCACACCTACATCAAATCAGGGTTCTCATGATGCAGAGCAAGCTGCCTGACTGATGCCCAGGTGTTTATCAGACAATTGTAATGCATTATAACGTCGACTTGTAATAATACGGTGTTCGATCCACGGCACTCGGTCACTGAACGACAGCGTCAAAATTAGCTCCCGCCTTGCGGGATGATGCGAAGTACATTCCAATGACTGGTATTATGCGATAGTGACATGACAAAGAAGGAAGTCTAGATTACAGACAGGGCGCCGATTACATACAGAAGCAGAATCCGCCGTATAAAGATTTCATGGGAGGACCGACCTACGGTGCTTTCGGTCCCCCCAGCTTCTTGCCAATGTCAGTACCTGTGAGAATCTATGAGAACACCATGATGGGGGGAAAGATAAAGGGTGCATACCACGCAGCTTAACACCGAGAGTGCGTTCGAGTTTGCTGAGAATCTGCGGGTTGGGAATAGCCTTCCCGGATTCGTAGTCCTGAATGACAGAAGGCTTCTCATTAACCTTCTGCGCAAGGTCTTTCTGCGAAAACTGTTTCTCCATGCGAGCTGTTTGAATAGCCTATAAAGCAGAGCCACCAGGATGTCATCATCGCGCTAACAGATATAGCTTACGCTGTACCTTTCCTACTGATGGTGCGACCTTTGGTGGAGGTGCAACCTCATTTTCTCGGTCAAGCTTTGCTATTCGCTGATGGTCGGTACCTGAAACAGTCCAGACGATGATTAGAGAGAGTAAGACAATAAGACACAGTGGTAGGGCACCTTGGTGGGCCTTGTTCGTCCCAGCTGTCACCTTCTTGTCTGTTGACAAGACAGCGTTCGCGCGGCGGGCCTGCGTCTCCATCAATCCCTCCATCCATGTCAGAAAAGTGTCAGAAAACATACAGCTGAAACGCACCAAAGACACACGTCAGCACGGGTCAATTATCACTACATCGAGAGACCAACACTCACCATTCAGGTCAGACGCATTTCTAGTAACTTTGGGAGCCTTGGCCTTGAAGCCGATAACGGTCTTGTTATCCCAGTCGACTTCACTCATTTCCTTATTGTTTCACCGACGTGTAAGAGGATGTGCAGGTATAGACTGGTGGCAGAAAGGCAGTGGAAAGGCAATGCAAAGGCTTACGTCTTATATATCGGGCGCGCTGTTCGCCTGTCACACTCTGACTCATCGCTCGAGGCATGTCTTAAATTAAATTTCCTCCGCTCATGTTTAATTATCGACCATGACTCGCAGCAGCGCATCCGAGAACATGAGGATCATCCAAAATCTAAATGTACTATGATACAGCATGTGAAAAGTCTAGATTCTAAGTATCTTGCAAGGTACGGTTTTCAGGCAAACCGATTGAGGCACAAGGTTCGACCCACAGCTCATAAGTTTGGATTCACCAATGCCAAAAGCGCCTGTCATGAACGTCGGGACAAAAGAGCGAAGGCCACGCAAGCAGCACCGGCGATAAACCCCGCGGACGCGGGCAACAAGAAGTTAACTGGGATCTTCTCGCTCATGGTCGAAACTGAGCGGGTAGGTTTTGATTGAGCACCTAGTTCCTGGGGCTTGGGCACCGCGTTGTGTTCCCAGCCATCGTCCAACAACTGGGCCATCATCTCGTCGTCCAGCATAGCGAGCTCCTCCATCTCCCATGATGTGCACACGTCCACCATCCATCGCATCCTCCTCTTCCCAAGCTCTCCACCCACGCCCGGTGCCCGCTCCCTCAATTTACTTCTGAGCATCCCAACCTTCTCTATGGCCTCCCCGACATTGTCAGGCAGGTTGTTCTCGATCCTCCGACGGATGATGTTTGCAAGCTTGGGACTCTGTCCGTTAGTGGATATCATGATCTGCAGGGGGCCACTGCGTATTTGAGAACCGAAGTAGAAGTCGCAGGAAGGCGGGATATCGGCGACATTAACTGGGATCTTCAGCGTTCGACACAGGTTGCATATTTCACGGGATGACTCGACGTCGTCTATGGCTGTGAGGACCATATCGACACCGACGAGGTCGGACGAGCCCGCAAAAGTGCGGTCATAATAAGTGATGCGATCGGAGGTCTCGATGAAGCTTTTGGTCAGAGAATGAAGTCCGGCGCGAGGTGCGATGAGTGTAATGAGAGCGTCAGCAACAAGAACAGATTCGATACGACCTGAAGCAACATCGCCACCGCCAACGATGAGGACACGTTTGTTCTTGAGTTGCCACGCGAGGAGAAGTGAGCCTCCAAAGAGAGAGGCAATGTCTGGAGCCATGCTGCGCTGTGCTGTCGAGGCTGAAGCAGGAGGTCAAACATCATTTTTGATGTCATGTGACACAAATTGGTCCCTTTAGATTGTAACTGGGTAAATGCAATGCTGCTAGAATGAATATAATAATGATTTCAGGCTGACGTTGAACGTTGACCGGTTACATCATGTACATGTGTGACAATCTGCTGAGTTATCTCCCGGCGGTTGTCACCATCAACTGTATCTATGCCCAAGAATAGAACGGCTGCCTGCCCCGGTTGTATAGTATTCGTTGCGAGGCGAATGGCTGGCATAGACAATCCGCGTATGGACACTCAGTCGCAGCAATGGGGTGCTTCAGAGGCATGTTGATTGGCTTCGATTCCAGACAGTAAGAGCCAGGCCGCAGCGGAGTGAGTCGGACGGACCGCGGTCGAGTGCCATGACGACGGGCGCTAAAGCGTACGTTCAATCATTTATGCAATTCCATCAATGTTGTATGCAATCTCATCGCCACTTGGCACTAACCATCCCATTCCCAATCCCCTCTTAACCTCAAGCCCGGTGAGCGTTCGCTTCCCACATCTTTTCGTTTCTCCTCCTTCTTTTCGTTTCTTCGTCTGACCTTTCTCGTCTTTCAGGCGTTGAACGTCTTTCTTGTTCAACTTAGGCCACTGCTGTGTCAGTGTGTTGCCCGGTGCCACAGCCTCCTCTGTCGCGTCCTCTCTCTCCGGAAGAGCTTGCAAGAGTTCTGCACATTTCATCCTTTCATTCTACTCGGGTTGACTCCTGTACACTCACACATCGTAACGTGCGTTGTCTCCCTATCACCTCTTTTAAGTCTGCTGATGTGCTGCAAAAGACCCGTCAGCTCGTCCCTTCAAACAGCTCGCCAACATGCCTAACCAAATGAAGATGATCATGGGCATCTGGGGCTTTGTGGACATATGTCTACTGGCTGCCGCTACCATCTCTATCGCATTCTCCATCATTTGGCGGAAACCAGACTTGTTGCTCAACATAGAACTGAGCACTCAGCACCTCAACGGTGAGCTCTATTGCACATCCTTCGGCGAGATATTGTCGCTAAGTATGCATCATTAGCGGGATTGGTTATGGGTATCATCCTGTTCATCTCGTGGCTGATTTCCATCGGAGCATTCCTCTCACCCGCAACATCGATTCTGGGATTCATCATCTTGGATTGGTTCCTGGTTCTCGATATGATTGCCGTACTCACTGTTGGCACTATGATGTGGTATTATACCCTCCAAATCCGCGATAATTACTTCGCTGTCTGGCAAGCACAGTCGACAGAGACCAGGATAGCGGTCCAGAACATGGTGCGTATCTATGATAATATCACTGTGGCTACCGTTGACATGGGTACAGTTCCAATGTTGTGGCTATTTTGAGCCAAACGATACCACCGTTGCCTTGGGTGGCTTCTGCGCTAATCAGACCTTTGTGGACAGTCTGGTTGATGCTGCATCTGTTAACACAAATGCTTGCGTTGGACCCATTACCGCGGTTGCTGAGCCAACGCTCAACCAAATCTTCACGTACGTCATTCCTCCTTATTCGCGTGGTTTGGTCACTGACTTGTCTTATAGTTCCGTGAGAAATGCCCGTTTCTGCTTCACACATAGATTTTCCTTATAAACTTGTTCTAGGTGTATGGCTTTATGGCAGTCGTGATCTGCTTGTTCTTGGCATCTCTCTGTGTCATCAAAGTGGTACGTATTCCTCGCGATATCAGTTACAAACGCACATGATTTTCTGACTATGCAATTCCATTAATACAACAGAGACAAGAGAAGGAGCGTTTCAGGAAGATCGATGCCAAGCGCGGAGGCAGGGGATTCGTCTGAGCTGCGCTCGCCCAGTTTGCGAACAAGCAACTCTTTGGACTTGTCTTCCTCTTTCTTTAAATGCTGTGGTTAAAAGACGGACACCCCACTCTCTTCTTGTTATCGTGATTCACTCTGCTCGTGCAATGGGCATACTTCTCTCATCGTCTCTGTCCTTAGAAGCAGATTGCATTTCGTTCTAATTCATTGTGTTACTAGTGTATTGAGCAGCTCGTGTACCTATTTGTTCCGTTTATCTTTCACATTGAATACCAGCCTATATTGGGGTCAGCGAAGAATCCTCCAGGAGGAGAATTATGCATGTGATGAGTGCTTGTGGCTAGTGCAGCCTTTTTGAGATATCTGATTGGTTATGGTTCCGTCGTGGGAGGCACGTCGGCACGACGGCGATCCAGCGGATTGTGCGCACCCAAAAGGAAATTCTGCAAGAAATGATACAACGCTGCTTTCAATTGTGGAGAAGTACAAAGGAGTACAGACGATCAACGCGCACCCCCGACACAGTACCAATACGTAGCCATGACCTCAAGTCTAACTGAAAAAAGACAGGTCCTGCATCCAGCCGCCCCGTCATCGCTCACCACACCGGTAAAGGATTGATCGCGACCGGTTGTGGTGGGACCACAATTGTGTTGATATCGATCGGAAGCGAAAATGAACGTGCGTGTTTGACCCAAGGCCCTTGTATCCGAATCTCCCTCTCTGGTGGTGGTGAAGATGAACGCGAACGCTCGCCACTTGACCGGGAACTCTCTAAACTGGTCCGAGACCTCATCCCGTCGCTATGCCCACCAATTGATGAGGTTGGGGACATTGCTCCCTCCAGCGAGAGAAGTGCGAGGGGCGTTACATCAAGTCGTGATAAATGGTTCTCAGCATCGTCAGGTGGTGAAGTGAGGGCATGAGTGCGCTCTCGAGGAACGGGTCCTTGAGAGAGGCGCGCCGGTGGGTGAAACACTGGACGAGGTAAAGAAGGGAGTGTGTGCTTGGGCTTTCCTCGAAGAGGGAGGGGACCCTGGACTAGACGAAGAGGAGAGGGAGCTGGACGACGCGGCATGGCTGAGTTGATGGATCGAATCGCAGTGGACGTGCAACAGTGGTCAAAACACTGAAATACAGATTAGAAATCAGGATTCGATGAGGTTGTCCTGGGCTGCAAACCTTGGGCAATATTAGGACCTTACGAGAACGGACTGGATAGCAGTGGCTCGATGGATATCTGTGTCGGAAATAGAATAGGTCGCAATCGGTCCAGCCGACAGCGTAGCCTAGGAAGAAGGGTTAAATACAACGAAAGCAGCGAGGGGACGAGGTACTGATAGACCTGGTCAAGGTTACGTCCACAGGCGACAGCTGAGATATCTCGCAGAAGTTACGTAAGTGGATGATGGAACAACTGCAAGTTTCAAGTTCAACAGACTCGAAGTTTCAAGGGCGAATCGGACGTAACCTACCAGTAGCCTGAGAGTTTGGGGTTAGCACGAGACTCAGGATACGTAGACAAAGTACATACTCCCAAGCGGATATTTATACGAATATTGATGGAAACAAAGGACCTTTGTACTGTTGCTCGGCTAACATACTCACCATGGCCACAGACATTGACAGCTTAGGAAGCGTGAAAGTATCGGCAGTCAAGTAGAAAAAAATTTGTGGTATATAGAATGAATCTCTAACTGTCCAACCTCGTAGCCAGAATATAGCGAGAAAATACCATGTACAGTATTATTACATGGCACAGCAAGATTCCAATGATGCATAGTCCCTGGAAGGTAAACGTGCGCAACATACGATACGCAGTTCACACGTAGTGATGACAACAGCACATGGAAGTGCTGTATTGTAGTACATGGGCTACGCAGACGACCCATCTTGAAGCGGACGGTAGTGCTTCAGAAGCTGAGCTTTGAATTCTAAGTATCCGCAATTAGTGATGTAATGAATCATGCCTTAGGCGCTGTTACATACCATCTGGTGAGTCCCAGAGTCTTGCAGCGTCTGGGTTTAAAGGGGAGGCATTGTTAGGCTCTGATACAAGGGGGTTAATAGAAATGGTTTATACTGTGGAAAACGGCATACCACCAAGCAGAGACTGCAACGAGATCAGAATGGTTTGCACGCTGTATATAGCTGACCACTTATCCTAGCGTCATGATTCGTGAGTATGATATGAATGTGTAATCATCTTGAAACTCCCTATTACCTGCAAGATGTCCAAACAAATAGATCCCCCTGCAATGTCGACATTTGGATGAAAGCATGGTGTTTCGAATTTTATTGTAGGTGCTGCATAAGGATAATTTGAAGGGAACAAAATAGAGATTTTAAACGCGAGGCCGCCATACACCTGATGAGATTAGTCGACGTTGACTTAAGTTTTGTATTACAACGAAGACAGGATGCATACCGTGCCTGGAGGCCCTTCAATGGTACCCGCCCAGTCAAATAGATTTGAGTCGGACTTGGGGAAAGCAGACTAGAAGGTGGCACTGAGTGATGCTGTCTTACGCGAAGAGAAGGGTTACCGACAATGCCAGGTGATGAAGACATCTGAATTGAAGTGAATGAGATATCGTCAATAGGATATCACGCGAGCACTTACCATCAAAGTCATAAGTTCATTACTCAGTCTTTTCCGCCCTATTAACTTCCCCAGTTGAACGCGCCCAAAGAAGCTGGTGCTCACCTTTTGGTGACGCTCCCGACCGTTTCGCCAGGGGATCCGGCAACGGTGGACTTTTGGACATTGCGCGAAGGCGCGAGAGACGTAGAGATTTGGTCCATGGCAAGGGTAGAAGTTTTACAAGATGTGTAAATGGAGGAGATGCGCGTCAGGTAACTCTGAGCAGTCTTGTGGACGGACGTGTTTGTTTCAGGCTAGCTCTCTTTTGAACCGTAACGCGTCAGATCACGTGCCACGCGAGCTCGGAGTCTAAACTCTCACGACTTCCCGCCCGTGGCGTAAGCCGGACATCTGAGACGAGACCCCGCGTCGACAACGCTCAAATCCCGTTCTCTCTTTCATCCGCCCTGGCGTATACGCCATGTCCAAGTTTACTCCTTCGCCCGCGGAGGTGACTCTTGTCAATCAGATATTCACTCAGGCAGACACCCAGAAGCTTGGCGTCATAACCGGTGATACTGCAGTCAAGATATTCAGCGGTTCCAAGCTTTCACCGGCCGTGCTGGCAGAGATTTGGAATCTCGCGGATGAAGACAACAATGGTGTCTTGACTCGCAAGGGCGTGGCCATGGCTATCCGTTTGCTCGGACACGCACAACGAGGCGAGAATATCACAGGAGATTTGGTCTACAAGCGTAAGCTTTATTTAACTGCGCAGACCTTTCATTCACCTCATCTTAGCTGGCCCTACACCAACTATCGAGGGCATATCAACACCTATCGTACCGCAGTTTACCGGTGCATCTGCCGCGAGGTCTCCCGGCTTGCCTCCATTGACCCCTCAGGACAAAGCCAAATTTCTGAGATTGTTCACAACTAGCGGTCCCGTCAATGGACTTCTAAGCGGTAAGCATGAATGTTACCGCAGTCTTCCTTTATACCAAACCGTTTTGAAGGTGAAAAGGCACGGGATGTGTTTGTGAAGTCCAAACTGCCCGTCGACAAGCTTTCCCAAATATGGTGCGTGAAGGAGGCGTTCGTCGTGCTGAATACACTTCTAATCAGGTTTCGTTCAGGAACCTAGCCGACTCGAAGAACCGTGGCGCGTTGGATGCGACAGACTTTACGATCGCTTTATACCTCATACAAGCGACCATGTCTGGACAATTGCAGTCTATCCCCCCGGTGCTATCTCCAAGCTTATATGAACAGGCTGGCGGGAAGCCTGCGCTTGATGGTGTCGCTGTTCATGCGACCGGCGGGAGCGGCACGTATAGCCCATCATCTTTGAATACGTCATTTGCTAGTCGACCCATGAGCACAATTGAACCACATTTTACCGGCCAAGGCAGCCCGCTACAGCCTCAGATGACGGGACAAATGCGTTCGACGTCGGCTACGCTACCTCGCTCAGCTCTATCAAATGCAACATATCCATTGGTGCAAGCTCAAGCCACCGGGTCAGCGCAGTCATGGGATGTAACACCCACAGAGAAGACGAGCGCAGATCGTCTTTTTGAGACGCTAGATCAGCAGAAGAGAGGTTACATAGAGGGCGATGTAGCTGTGCCATTCATGTTGCAATCCAAGTTGGCAGAAGATGTCCTTGCGCAGGTTTGGTATGTAGTGCTTACGAACTTTCCAGGAGTCAACGAGGCCTCATTCGTTACTTAGGGATTTGGCCGACTTGAACAATGACGGTCGTCTGACTCGGGATGGGTTTGCAGTTGCTATGCACCTAATCCAGGGAAAGCTGAATGGAAGAGAAGTCCCGCCTTCTCTTCCTCCGTCTTTGATACCCCCCTCAATGCGTTCTCCATCGGCCCCTTCAGCTCCGCCTGTTCAACCTTCCTTCACGGATTCTATTCGTGATTTAATCTGGGATGATTCCCCTCCTGCTTCTGCCACGATTCAATCGCAGCCAGTCATCCCCGCTCAGAACACTGGGTCACTTGCTTCTCGGTCAACACCTGCAATCTCGTCTCTTCCTCCTGCGGCTAGTTCTCCGTTCCCTATTAGTTCTCCGTTTGTAGTCCCCCGTAAGTACCTTGATACCTGCCATCATGTATCACCCCATTGCTCACCTGTGTCACTAGCCGCGATTCATCAAGATTTGCTCGGTGACGACGACGAGCCCGCAGCCACTTCCCCCCCTCTGCAGGATCAGTCAGCTGAGATTGGCAATGTCAAAAACCAGCTCAGCTCGACGAGCCGGTCTTTAGACACTGCTAAGGCTGAACGTGAAAACATAGAACGCAATTTAAGCGACCAAGCCGCACAGCTATCTGCTTTGCAAATCCAGTTGTCGTCCGCCAAAGCCGCGTACGAGACGGAATCCCGTTTACTCAGTACTCTTCGTGAGCGGTTCGCGTCGCAAACCTCTGAGATTCAGAAAGCTAGGGAAGAGCTTATTCATAGTGAAAGCGACTTGAGCGCGGTCAGAGTCGAGAAGACGGAGGTGGAAGGTGGATTTTTACGTGACAAGGAGGAAGTTCGTGAGTTGCAGCGCAAAATGACTGAGGTTGGCATGCAAGCAGAGACGCTGAAGGCGGAAGTGGAGAAGATGAAGAAGGATGCAAAACAGCAGAAAGGTTTACTGGCTATCGCAAAGAAGCAGTTAATGAACCGGGAAACAGAAAGGGCGAAGATTGAGAAGGAACTCGAAGAAGCAAAGAAAGAGATCGCTGAGATCACCAAGGAGCGTGAGGATACCGAGGTTGAATTGGCAAAGGAAGTACCACTGCCGTTGACCAATGGTCACCATTCATCTGCGTCACCCGATATACTTGCAAAAGCTGTTGCTCAACCTCTACCAGCCACGCCTGATATCCCAACCAGCCCGACAGGGTCCGTGATGAGCTTGGGCAAGAGCAATAATCCATTCGAGCGCGTCGCAATGGCTTCAGGCTCAGGTTCTCGTTCTCAATCACCTTTCCTACCCTTCACTAATTCGACAGTCCTCCCAACCCCTTCGACTGCGCCTGCAGATACCAACATAGAGATACCGGTTGGATCGACGCCCAACCCATTCCGCTTGCCCCAGACACTTGGAACTGACGAATCTCAAAGTGGAGCAGATCTTTCTGTGCTAATTGCAGAGCCTACCTACGCTTCTCCAATTGACGTGATGTCTCCGACTGATACGGATCTTTTCATGACTCCTCCAAGTACAGCGACCTTCCAGACCCTTAGTCCCACCCCACAGACATCCAACAGCCTTGCTATTACGGAAAACAAGGAGACGGTGTCAGATATCGAAATGGACAAACAAGTTTCGGCGCCAGTTACCCAGGCTGCGTCTGAGGTCAACGAGACGAAGGGACAAGCAACGGACTTGGACCACCAGCTAAAAGAACTTGACGCTGAGGAGTCTGATACTGACTCCGACTCTGACTCTGAGGATAGTGTACCTCTTGCTAATGTCAAGGACCGATTAAGCAAAGACTTCAACAATGACGACGCTAATGGTGCACTAGGGACATCCACTACCGCACCCGCTATATCTGCCTTCGATGACTCATTTGGTATTTCGACATCTACAGAGCATTCTGAGCACAACTCGCCGCTGAGGTCCTTGACGTCGACTCCTGTCCGGAATCAATCTCTGACAACAGGCTCTCAATCAGCGGCCTTGGATGCATTCGGGGCCGCCTTCGCTCCTGTGTCCACAACACAAGGGCCTTTTGGTGCACCTCCACAGCCAGCATCGGTAGTTGATGGAGACGTACCAGAGACTCCAGGCGTGACCGACTTCGATGAAGCAATGGGCAAGATATCCACCAGTCCGAGCACAAGTGGTGGCCCTTCCCAATTTTCTCAGTTTAGCTTCGATTCCGCGTTCGACGACAACTTTGACTTCGCTGCAGCAAGCGCGGCGACAGCTCCGCCGCATGGTGCTAACGGCATCACCCAGCCGACAGTGGCGCCGACTGTTGTACAGCCTCAGGTGAATGCCTTCGATAACGTCTTCATGCCCCAGCCTGGCATTAGTGCGGCTTCCCCTGTGGCTCCCGCATCTGCCCTCTCTCAACCCCAGGCGCTATCGTCTGGACCGCCCGCCCAGCCTGCCGCCGAACCAAGCAAGACGCTGTCTTTCGATGATGCCTTTGGCGCGGTGGCTGGTGACGGCCACTTATCGTCTAGTCCACCAAGATTGAATGGTGTCTCGAACGCTATATCTTTTGACGACGCATTTGGTGGTAGGTCATCTATCCTGGCCCTAGATTCTTCTTTCGTCTCTGTAGGCCAAGAGTCTGCTGGAGGACCAACGGCATCAAAAGGGCCAACCCCGTTTCCTCGAAGCACTTCTCCCGTGTCTCCAGCAGGGCGCTCTCCTACCATGGTCGCTCGTAGGTCTATTTCTCCCCCTGGCCGTCAGGTCACACCGCCTCCGCGCCATTCCTCGCCCAAACCTCGGCCGTCCACAGCGTCTTCAGACAAAGAGAAGGCGCCGAATGCCAGACATTCTAAATTGAGCGTAAGTTGTTAAATGACTTTAGCTCTTGTTATTCTTTGATGTTGAGGTGACATCTCAGCTCCGACTGCCCTTCGGAAGAAAGAAGAAAGCGACCCACGACGCGCCACCAGTGCCTCCGCTGGCAAGTCAGCAACTTGTTGAGGAGCCCACTCCTCCAGTAGAAGATGACATTGATGCAGTCAAGCAGTTGTGCAGCATGGGCTTCAGCAGAACTCAGGCCGTTACAGCTCTGGAAATGTTCGACTACGACGTACAACGGGCTCTCAATAGCTTACTTGGTGAGTATCCTAGGACCGGCATGTAACGCTGGTCGGCTTACGTGGAACGTGTTCAGGGTCATAATGTGAAAGTGTCTTAAATAATTTGAAGCGTTATACTATTAGTACAAAGCTAACCTACTACTGCTTCTTTTCTTCACGATTCATCGAACACGCTCCTTTAAGCCTTTGGATACTACCCCCACCCTCGTTGTTCTGTTGTCTCTCCTCTAATCTGATATCCCTTTTGAGACGAGCTCGCCTGTGATATGGCGCCTGTAAGCTTGCCGTGTGTATCGGGTAAATGAGGTATTCGTCCTTTGTCTCGTGTGGCGGTACTTTGCTGGAACATGATCAGGTGCGGCGCCTTGACGTGGTCAGCAAACTACTAGTGACTTGTGGCCCACCCTTTATCTGCCACACCGGGGCGGCGGCTCCCATATACAACGAGCATTATGTGCAGGAGTACTATAAGAGGCACACCTCTGCTCTGCTGAGGTTTGCGCTGTCCTTTCTGTCATTTACTAACTTGGCGTGGGAGCCTTTTTGATCTGTTTCCGACTTGCAAGTCCTCCTTCTCGTTAGGCTTTTAAACTTGATGCCAGCCTTTGACTTGATTGTCCTCGGCTGTGGTGAGTGTCCGAATTATGCATCACCATTGGTCAAAGTCGCTGGATGAATTTGTCTAGGAGGTGGTCCCAACGAGGACAATTTGTCTTGGTCAGTGGCACACGAGACTCTTCCAACATGTCGGTCCTCAGTCATTAATTCCATGCACTACAGCTACTTGTTCAAGCCACACGAATCGTCATGGAATGATGGTATTTTATCCCTAGAGGCAGGCATGTCATATTACCGCTCAGGATCAAATCAGAGCCTCACCATAACAGAAAAGGATCCGGCGTCGGTGCATTAGCGCGGTTGTTGCAGCTCCAGCCTGACTTATTTGGTTGCCGACAAGGCAGTAATGTGGATACACCATCATCACCATACAGTGCCGCAGAGGTCTACTCCTGGATCAGGTGTGCTCCGGCCGTTCAATGCGCGAGTCCTGCCTGTACTGACGGTGTGATACACAAGATGCTTTCTCGTGACTCACGCCCACTTGGACCATGTTCTCAGTCTGGTGCTGACCGCGGGCTCCATGAGTGGGCCTAGTAGGTTAGTATTAGGAGCTCAACACACTCTGAAGGACATTGAGAACATCTTCTCCGGTGGCGTATGGCCGAAATTAGCATCATGGTCTCCGGAAGACTCGCTTCCTCTCCTCCTTAGCGAGTGCGTACTTTTTTAATATTCCTGAACATTTGACCCATTGGAGCATTCCTAGTCTTCCCACGAACGGGCAGTACAAGTCGATATTCCCTCAAGTGTCGGCCCGCATGATGCCCATAAGCCACGGCAATCGCGACGCGTCCGAGACCTACGAGTCGGTCGCATACTTCATCCGGCACGATTCCACAGCTCGCGAGTTCCTATTTTTTGGTGATGTTGAGCCTGATAGCGTTTCCTCGAAGCCGCAAAACGGGAGCGTCTGGCGAGCAGCCGCGGAGAAAATCCCTCATGTCCTGGATACAGTTTTTATAGAATGCTCGTGGCCATCGGGGAGGAACGATGACCAGCTATATGGTCATCTCAGTCCAGAGCATCTGTCCATAGAGCTTACTACTCTGGCTACAGAGGTCATCAAGTTCCGAACGCGGACAGAGACGAAGAGCGATTTTGGTTCTGATGATGAAGCTACTCGCTCGCGGAAGAGACAGAGACGAGAATCTATTTCTCCTGTTTCTCTGCGAGGAGCGTTATCCGGATTGCGCGTATTTGTCATCCACTGTAAGGACGACCTGCAGAACAAACAGGACGGCCTTATCCGTCAAACCATTGCTGCAGAAGTTAGATCGTTGGTGGAGGCGCAAGATCTCGGGCTTGAGGTTATTGCTGTTGAGCCGGGAATACGTATATGTATGTGTACAAGCCACATTTCCAGTATCTGATGACCTCATTTGTTTCCTTAGCCATCTGAATCATTTTCGCTTCAAGAGTACGACTGGGCACTTGAACTCCAGACTGTAGCATACCTTAAATTATTGTTCGTTCGCTACTGTATTGCCGCTTGCGAGCTATCACATCGCATCGCATCACATATTAGATTGTTTGTCATAACGGTCGTGATGAGGTATATATGAGAATGTAGAACTGGACAGCACGAGCGATGCATTACGGTTACGGATATGGAGAACAGCGTTTGCGGATATCACCAGGGACCGATGCAAAATCGAGCGTAATGAAAGATAGACTTGGTCCAGATGACACTCACGAGGAGGCATACAGTTTGACTACACCATCCGCGCCTGCGCTGGCCATGATTGGCAGCGTCGGATGGAACTCGACGTCTAAGACTCCTTCGCGTGCTTTTTCCCTGTGGCTTGTGATCTCTTGAACGCAAGCTCGTGAGCCAAGGATGTCCCAGTAGCGTACCGAGCAGTCATGGCTGCCCGAGACGAGTGAAAAACCTGCCGCATCGATCGACAGCGATGTCACGCCATCAAGGTGAGTCAACATGGAATGTGTGCATTGTCCTGCATCGATGTGGATCAGTATTCGCAAATCTAGGGTGTCTGAGATCGATCAACTTACCAGTCACAATATCGAAGATCCTGATGTGTTTGTCCTCATGCCCGGTGATAAGAAGCGGCATCGTGGGATGTGACGCAATACTGTTCACTTGCGAAGACAACGCACCCTCTGCCAATAAATGGGTCAAAAAGGCTACAGGTACGGATGCAGGAGACCGAAAAACGCACCTTCAGACTCAGCTTGCATCCGCGCTAGCTCTTTGCCGCTCTCGATGTCAAAAATTTTGATCATCGCATTTTGGTATGCGACGGCAACCTTCTTGAGGTCAGTCTTGATAGCCTCGACAGCGGTTGCACCAGGCGCGTCACTTTCTGTGAGTGAGTCCTCTTGAGGGTCCAAGCCGTCGTATGACCACGTTAACCTGAGTGAACCCCCTCCAGAAGGGCCGCTCACGTCCCAGACTTTGACGGCACCCTCCGCACCACAACTTATAAGCGTGCTTTCGTCGCGGACAAGGGCCAAATCCCATACGGCGTCGGTATGACCAATGAGCTCGCCGCGGGCACGCGTCGCATCATATGGTGCATAAGTAGTATGCGAAGACGGTGGTAATGCCCATATCCGGATTGAGGAGTCCAAGGAGGCGGAGTAGAGCAGTTGTTTCGACGGTGCATGTACCAGCCGAGTGATTGCCGCTGAGTGACCACGGAGGGTAAGTTGAGGCTCTACCTCAGTGGTAGGACGAGAACTGTTATGAAGGCGGACATTAGGTCAATGCCGACCGTACCTCATTGGAGAAAATACGCACGCAGATGAGGCGAGGCCAGCAACATCGACACGCCATATCTTCACGGTAGTGTCGTCTCCACCTGTTGCAAGGCACATTTCTGTGGGATGAAATGCAAGAGCGCGTACAGCGTCGAGATGACTGAAGAAATTGTTAGCAATGTCCATGTTCAAACGCTTCAATGTCAGGACAAATCAAACTAACTTCCTCAGTGTTCGCTTTGCTTTCCACACCTTGGTCCCTTCACCTTCACCGATCACCGTTGATTCCTCGTCTTCCACTTCAGCCTCTTCCTCCTTTCCGTCCTCCTCCTCATCCCGTGTTCTCCGCTCCCATGAGGCTGCTCCGCTGGCCGTTTGCCCAGGCTGCTCGAGCCTCGCCTGCTCTGCCGCCTCGTGGGACATGCGTAACTTTTCTCTCCAGTCATCGCCTGGACGAAAGATAGCAGTGGCCAGCGGTTGATGTTCATCCTCACCCTCCTTCCCCTTCGCGTCTGTTGGTTGAGAAGACGATAATCCCGACTGTGAATGCGATTGTTGACTCGACTGGCCTGAGGGGCCAGTCGACGGTTGGGACTGCTGCGAGGACATAATACCCGAACCGCCAACATTAGCACGGTCCAAAGGATTGCTCTGTGGATTCGATGTTGCCGGCGCGGACGAAGGCCCTGTCATCATACTCACACCATTCATCATTGAGTAATCTTTGCCGACTTCAGGCATAAGTTTTCTTGGGCGTCCATTGTACGCCATTTGGTCAAAGGGTACATTTGGGATCTGCAGTGGAAGTGTGGTGTTGTTCAGCAGAGGACGGTTTGGAAGAGGGTTCACAGCTTGGGGAGAGGTGAGGTAAGATACTTCTTGCAAACACCTTGACAAACTATATCAGCGGCTAGGATGTACGGTGTAGAGTGTATGACAGACTGTTTGAGGTAATCTCGACTCCTCGCTCTACTCTTAGGATCACGTCCAGCGGGTGGCTTCCCTATTGTACCGGCAGTGCCTGCAGTACCATTAGGAGCAGACCAAGCCGCACTGCCTACCCATGTCTGCGTTCGGCTCGTCGAATTTCCCATAAGGGCACCATTGATCGAGCCGGTAGACATGCGATCTGGGGGCAACGGGGAATCTATAGAGCAGTTGGGTGGTTCTGGCAGCCTCTCAACGAACATAGGCGAAACTCACCCTCACTTCGGGGAGAACTGCCACTACTCCCTTCTTTATGGCTGAAGGCATCATCTTTTTGCGAAGTCTGGCCCATCTGGGCCTGAAGCACTGCGAGTTTGGTTGGCGGAACCGACTGGGACGCAGGCTGTGACAACTGCTTGGATCTTCCGGACGACACGTCAACAAGTGTGCAAAACAGTCACAAGACAACGCGCACCGCTCTACTCGCAGAGCATATTCAAGCATTTTGATACGCCGCATAAGGTCGAGCTTGACATTCTCGAATGAGCGTCGTTCGCCCTCAAGTAGAGCTATACGGGCCTCCATAACGCTAAGGACATGCATATACGCCGAAGAACGACACGTCTCACCCGCATTTCTGCACGCTCAATCTCCCATTCGTTGCGGTCTCGCTCGTATCTCCTCCATTCTGTCTGTAAGAAATGGAGCACATTGGAAAGGGTGAAGTCTTGCCCGCTCTGTGGAGGAAGCGGGATTTCGGAAGGCTGAGGTCCTTGCTGTTGCGGTGGCGGCTGCGGCTGTGGTGTCTGCTGTTGGTTCTGAATATGCTTTGGAGGAGGAAGAGCACCCACAGGACCAAGCATGGGGATCTGGATGGTGGACTGGAGGAGCTGGACTTGAGGAGGGTGAGAGGGATTCGAGTTGAATCGTGAAGTCGCGTTGATCATGCTCTCTATCACCTGTTTGGGACAAACAACCTCGCCTTAGCAGTCACGCCTGAGGCTGCCGTCCTGCTCCTCGTTGCTGTCGGTGTCGGTAGAAGCTGCGTGGTCGACAGCAGAGTCTCAAAGTATGAGTTGCAGTGATGTTTGCCAAGGACTGCAAGGTAAATTCGAGACACTAACAACACCACCCACCGCCTCGTTGTGCTAAGTCTCGTTTTACGTAATGGACGCTGGCTCGCCGCTGGGTACTACACACCGCACACTTCAAATGCAGTGTATCACAATGCGTGATGCACTTATATACCGACAGCTACTACAACACCTACACCAATCGGTTGCTGCGTTGTTCAACACGTTCACGTTGAATAGAGCAAATTAACACGCGCAAGCCGGGACCTGTCTCATGATACATACGACATACTAGCCGTCCATGACCTCCTGGAAGGTCAATCATTTGTATTCATCCATTTGGACGTCATGAAACGTCTTCTGCAATGGCGTCTCCTTCAATGGCCTGATAAGGCGGAGGGGGAGTTTCAGCCCTTGGAGCAGCTTCAAGGAGCGTGAGTGGGGATGTCGATGATGGGGTTGGTTCGACAGCACTTGGACTACCTTGGTTAAGGCTGGATGCGGGAACGAGGGCAGGCACGGGGGTTGGAACAGCAATAGGTGCGGGAGCGGGGGCTGGCGGTCGTTTCGATGGTGGAATTAATGACCGCGGCAATGAAATAGGGAGTTTCTTGCCCTTTAACGTTTCCCGTACAAGATGCATGGCCACCGCGAACTCGTCCCGCGTGAGCCGTCCGTCGCGGTTTGTGTCAGCAAGTTCCCTGAATCATACAGCATTATATCGACTCCCGGTACCGAGATGCACAGCTACCTACCAGATCGTTGCCATGACACCGTCTGGTAATTGCGACTGCGAGAAAAATGGAACTGCGACGCTTGCTTCAATGTATCCCCTTCTCCAAGGGTCAAGCGTGTCAAAGAATGTATCGAACCTTGCCTTGGCCACCGGATTTATATCCCACGGTACACCGCCCATAGTCGTTTGCGACAGTAGCACTGCCGGAGGCGCATGTAACTGCCTTGCTGAGGGGGAGGCCGGAGGGCTAACGAACGGAGAACAGTCAAATGCCGGATCAGTAGCTGGTGGCAGGTTATTATCAGTGTTGATTGCCAACGAGGGGCTAGGCGGCCCACTCGAACTCTCCTCAATCGGCTTTGGAGGGAGGGCAGGAGGCAATGTCTCTTCAGGCAAATTGTCGAAATCGAGGAGCTATTACTGATGAATCAACTAGCTCATAACTCTCTTTAAATGGAAGTGGCTTACCGACACTTCGTGTTGTTGAGGTGCAGGGCCTGCCGTTTGTGCATCTAGACTGGCGTCAGATACCAGCGAGCTTGGTAGTTCCTTGCCGGATTTCTTGGAGTCTACTAGGGACATTGCGGATGAAAACTCGTCTCTAGTCAGATATCCCTTTGCATCAGAATCTACCAGATCCCTATAACGCACAACAAAATGTCAGCGGGATGTACGTTTCGGGAAACTTGTACCTGCCATATATGAGTCAAGTCCGCCATAGGTAAACCCAACTTGAGCATGAATGAAGCTACTACATTTCCTTCCACTCGACCAGTGCCTTGTGGGTCTAAAGTATTGAACACGCGATCCGCATGACTTCTTTCAGCGGAAGAAATATCCATGGATTGCTTCCGAGAAGGTTCGCTAGAATTCCCACGCAACATGGTAGGGACATCCAACCGGTACGAACTCGGGATGGCTGGATCACTAAGTGATCTGAAAATACTTGGTGCAGGCTTGTCACCCGCTTGTTCGTACAAAATAGTGGGCAGATAATCCGGTACGGAGGCCAGCTTTCCATCCATACAAGCTTGCACGAGATACATGGCGACGACGAAATCTGCAGCATTTAGAGAACCACGGCAGGTAATGTCCGCCAGGTCCCTGTGACAGATCAAACGATGTAAGACTGGTTCTTGTACTACGCGGTACAAGAAAACTGACCATATTTTCTTCAATGTCTCCGGAGATAGTTTTGACTTCAGTAAGAGATCTCGTGCTTGTGCACCTAATAATAGATCTACTAGGCCCTTGCATCACAACGGTCAATGACAACAGACTACACACCACTCAGGATGCCATTGCGAGGCTCATTTGCGAAGAAAATTTTCATGAATTTAGCTTTATCATCTGATGTGAGTGGTGGCAAGCCGTTGAAACTCTTGTCGATTTGAGAAGATGGGAATGCTGGTGTGCCTACCGCGGTGCAGCTTCAGCATTAGAACAAGATCCGAACTCGAATACCTACTTTCAGCCAGTGAGTTCGCCACGGCCATTCCGCCGAATGCCTACGAAACCAGCGTCACTTGGAGCGCAGTATGTATTGTTCAACGTACTGTTGTCGCCTCCTTCAACCCATTATGTTCTCGCTTCATATCTTCGTGGAGCTTCATCGCTTGGTTCAATTCCTCATTCGCCCCTAGGAGCTCCTGTAAAAGTCTCTCCTTGACTGCAGGATCGGCATTGTGCGACGAGCTAGGGGTATTCTCCACCTCAGTGGTCGCCCACGGAATCTTCGCCACGATCACGTTCTGTGACGCTAGGCAAGCTAAGTAGAATTCCTCCAGATCCAGCCATTCTTAACTTTCTCGATGGGCACAAGCCAATAGTGTCTACGTACCTGGATTAATTCACCTTCAAGATCTTCAGCTCTTGCATGTGCAAGAGCATCCGACAGCAGCTCAGCGTTTCCTCGCGCAGTGCTGCTAGTTGTAAATAGTCGCTGTATCTCATCCTCGATTCCAATGGATTCTATGCCTGCTTGAGATTCTATGCTTGACCCACGCTGATGGTGATCTCGCTTCATGTCGTCAAACATTTTGATCGCCTCCGTGAGCGCCTCGTCGGTGGCAAGCAGCTCCTTGAGTAATCGCTCTTCTCGAGTTGAGGTTGATGATCGAGCATTACGATGCGATCTGGCGGCTTCAACGTCGGCCCACTGTATATGCTCGAAGATGTCTTCTTGGGTACTGCGACAATTCTTGAGGAATTCCTACTCGAAAGGCGTGGTCTGAGGTGATACTACAAACCCAGCTCTCAAGAAACTGAAACATACCTGAATCAGCGGACCGTTCAGCTCTGCTGGCTGCGCATGCGCCAATGCATCGCGCAACAGCTCAGCAGTTCCGTGCCCTGTTCGCGCAGCCTGAAATAATCGGTCTATTCGCTCTTGGTTGCTCAGTGGCTTGCTGCTTTGTGGCCGACCCTTCTCATCAAACGAACCCGATGTTGTGGAGAGAAGACGGATCTGCAAAACAGCTGAGTTCTGTGGTTGAGTGATATTTAGATAAACCAGCGTACAGTAAACTCATTCTTGACCCGTTCTTGGACCTCTGAATTGTAGCCTGCGCGCTCCAAAGCATCATATAATTGTAACACGATTGATAACCCATCATTGACTTTGTAAAGCTCCTTCAAATAGCGAGTCATACTGCTGTGCTCCTGGCCCATAGAGAGTATGCGAGCCTGGTCGACCTCGGCTTTGACCATCGGAACGTGGGACTGAACGACGTCCTGAGATTGACGACATTTCCTTAAGAACTCCTATTCAATATGCGTTATGGTGGCACCAAAGTGTAGTACCAACAGATGAAAGCACACCTGTACCAGGTCCCCCTTGAGATCCCTCGGTCCTTCCGAATTCACAAGCGCCTCATGCAGGAGATCCGCGTTGCCTCTGGCTGCCTTGCACAGAGCTGATACGCGTTTGGGTCCCTCTAAAGGCACTGTGTGGCTCATACCACGACGATGACGATTCGTAAGTTGTGATCTGCTATAGTCGACCAAATCCATCGTTGTAACGGTCTAACGCGTCTATGAGCCGTTAGGAGTTCTCCCGTGGCAGTGTGATCCGAGATGCATCTAACTCACCGTTCACTCACAGTCTCTCAGGATCGGTGATTGTTTCCAAATCCTGTGGTCAATTTCTGAGAGAGGGTGCGGGAATATCTCAGCCATCGTCCAAAGCTCCAGTGACAGATATGTGGATGTGCATCACTGCGGAGTTGCGTTATGGGCAGCTTTCCGGCACTGCCCCTAGCGCAGCCAATGCGGGCTCCCTCGTTGTCTGTGTGCTCTCAGAATACTTGAAAAGCGAAATAATTTATGATATTTGGACGGGCGCAGCGGACGACTTAACCCATTCCGTGGTGGCGTTTTAGATATGCGGCCATACTTCCTTAGATTGACATTATTGCTGCGGCATCGACGCCGTATACTCGCACCACCGCCAATTGATCGGGCAATGCCAAATTATGGCCGCATCTGGACAATCGTAGAGGTTATGTTTGGTGAATCTCACGGCACGGCTGACGGTGACTGTCCAGGTCATTCTCAGAACATGTATGTAGTAATCATCCAACGGATCCGGTGCCACTAAACCACCGACATTACTGTATGTGCACGATGGGAAAGCCTTTGACGGGCCAAGAGGTATCATTACAGACTTGTCTGCGGCAATACATGTGAGGTGGCAATTGAAACTTATTTTATCACGAAAGAAGGACATCGTGGAAGTCAGTCTTATCGGCGAACAAGGAGCGGGCCCGATGTGGCCCTGCTGTTGAGTATAGGATTTGGATCAGAATGATTGCAATCAAGTTACGACGAGTCGGGTGTACAGCAACAAGGCAGAGCGATGGGCTGGCAACAGGAATTCTGTCAGGGGAGGCCTTGGCCTCGTGGTAGGATCGGAGTCAGTGTGAGAGGTGATTGGAAGGAAGAGTCTAAGGCGCCCATCCTCGACCCTACACTTTTTCCTCTGATCACTGTCCATCTTCCCTTCTGCTTGCCTGCATTGTCTCTTGCTCACCTCTCTCCTACCCTCCTCCGTTCTTCTGACATAACGAGTGCCTTTACGACCGTTTTCTGTATCATCTAGGTGTTTGTCTTCAGCGCTGCCAGACATCATGACCAGCTCGTCTTCCACCCCGGATATATCTACATTGTCCCTCACTTCCCAGCCCTCCCAGCAACGTCTTCATGATGCTTACGACTACGAAGGCAACGTCGGTGGCAATGCCAAAACTCCATACCACTACTCCACGTCTCCCCCCATCCCGGCGCAGTCCCAGTACAACCCCATCGGAATGGGCCAGTCTCCACTCAAGAATAGACCTGTGTTGCGCGGAGGCCTTCCTTCTGTATGTCTGCCCTTTTATCTCTGCTGACCAAACTGGCACACATTGATGCGTTATGCGCACATAAAGCAATGGCTTGATAATGCGGCTGGCATGGCCGATAATCGCTCCCTCTCTCCGCATAATAATTCGGACCTATCGTCCTCTGGAGGCTCACCTCCTCCCATTGGCAACATGATTGTTCCTCCAATGACACCTGGGACACCCATTCCAGGTGCGGACGACGAGATCATACCCACAGCCATTGTCATCAAGAACATTCCATTCAATGTGAAGCGCGAGACGCTCCTTGAGATCATCGTATGTGACATTCTGCTCACTCAATGTTATGGATCTAAAGATGCAAATAGACTTCGCTCTCGATTCCGACGCCGTACGCGTTCAACTATCATCTCGACCAATCAGGTCAATTTCGTGGGCTTGCCTTCGCCAATTTCCGTCAGGCACTAGATGCAGACGCAGTCGTAGCTGCTTTGAATGGATTTGACGTACAGGGCCGCAAGCTGCGTGTCGAGTACAAGAAAGTTCTCCAAGCTGGGGAGAAGGAGCGCATCGAGAGAGAAAAGGCAATTCGCCGCATGAAATCTATGCAGCTGGAGAGAGAACAGGCCGCTATGGTACAGCAGCAGGTGCAAACGCCGTTTGACGATTTTGGACCCATTGCCTCTCCATTCACACCTCAGCGGTCTTTCTCGGCTTCGAATGTGTATCAGAATCAGCCTTTCTCGCCTTCGCAGATACCGCCGTTGCCAACCCCGCAGCCTTACGCAGTCTCGACGCCGCCGTTGCCACCAGCTACACCGGGTAGCATAAAGACATCGTCTACAGAACTTGATCTTAATGATCCTTCGACTCTAGAGATCTACTCGCGCATCCTTTTGTTTAAGGATGACCGCATGAGAGATGAGCTTGCCTTCTCAAGAACATTATCGCCAAAGCAACGACGCGTTGTTCATCTCGTCGCCCAGAGGCTCGGAGTATACCACTACTCTGTTGGTGAGGGTGAGGAGAGATACGCTGTGGTCACACGTATTGATCCGAATGCGGTACGCCACATTATGTTCTTTTGTTCTTAGGTTTACCGACGTTGTTCTTTTCAGCAGCAACAGGGACCTGGTCCACGACAGACACTGACTCGTGCACCATCTTCGTACTTGGCGCCTACGTCGCCCCAGGTGCCCAATGCCTTACGTGTGAAGAAGTCTATGCCGGACATGAAGACCCTGCAGGCTCAAGCACCCCGATTGACGACACGCGCTTCTAACGGCAACATACGTGAAGGATACGCCACCATTGCATCTCCTTCTCGTCGCTCGCCTGGCGGGTTTGCCTCGTTGTTCTCTAACAATGGCAACGGGTTTGGCAACGGGATCCCTCCCGTGCCTAGCCTTCCGTCGAACCTAGGTGGCGGAATGGACAGTCCGGGCGGTGTGATGCGGCAACCTCGCGGTCCCGGAACAGGGGGCTTCGAGTCTCGGAGGGAGAGGCGCGAGAGTCAGTCGCGCAGTGGATTTGATCCTCGCTCTCATGAGCCGCTGGAGATCTAATGTGCCAATTCGCTCGTGCATTCGACGCATTCCCGAGATGCAAAGTCAAGCAACACGGACTATAATGCCTTATTTCATGGTACAGATGTTCTCCTATACACTCGACACTCTCGTTCTTGTTGTTGCCCGCTTGCGTTCCAGCGTTTATGATTGCTTCTTTAGCCTGACACGTAATCTTTCCTCTCGATCCCTTCTAATTGTCAAGGTTTGTTGTGCAGTGCATAAAAATCCATGTTTTCTTTCAGTTGCATACTCTCCCACAGCTATTTACTCCCGATGTCATGGCCATCATTCATGCGTTATGCTTGCGTACCTTTTTGCCCTTTTTGCCACACAGTACCTTTGGTTGTAAGATGTCAGACCTAGAGCAAGGGCAAGTCTGTATATATGCGAATGGATGGATGTCACTCCGTGTTCTTGACCCCCAACTCAGACTACAATGGTGGTGTTTGCAATAGGCCTGGGGGACGCTCAGGATGAATCCTGAGTGGTATATACTCGGCCAAATGCCCGAGCAGCCAGTGGGGGGGTGTCCGTTTCTAACCGTTCGACGCGTGTTTACGCGTTGGCGCCGCGCGCGTGCGTCGGAAAACCAGCCTGAGGCGCGCACTCTACTTCCTGCAGCTGTGGGGTGCAATATATGCCCAGAATGCCCGCAGCAACCATTGTTCATGCAGCTTGCTTTGCAGTTGGCGCACTCGTTGGTGGTGGTGTTGCCGTTGTCGCAGGAAGGAGACAGGCCCCCATCATCCCCATACCCACGCTGGGCTCTCCGCAACCTGTTCTCGACGTGAGACCCGGAGGAGTCACACAAATTTCTACGCCATCTACCGTGTACGCGGCACAGCAGCAGGTGTTGAAGTATGGCAATCCTGGTGCGCATGTAAAGACCCCGGTTGGTGACCACGCTAAAAAGTGACTTCTGCTATAGGACCTATCTCTGACCAGCTTGTTCGAACGGCTTATGTCGCTGGATACGACCGCCGCTTGAGACATCCAGCTTGGGTGCGTCGTTTCTAACCATGGTAATATCTACCCTGACTTGGAGTTTCTGCTTAGACAGCCGAGCACTTGACCCTCACTTCTCTCGGAAAGTCTACGCTAGAGTCTCCGTCATCTAACAGCGAGTCTGGCGATCGCTCCCAGTCGACTTTCGCTGAAGACTCCGCCGTACCCTCATTGTTCCGCGCAAAACTGCAAGATTATTTCAAGAGCGGGTATGACCGTGGCCACATGTACGCGTAGCACTGACATCTCTTCGATTGGTACTCCTTGACTCAACGCACTCTGGCCAGGGTTCCTGCCGCGGATGCAAAGATATCTCAGGTACGTTCACACACTTCACGGCGTAATTCCACTCTTACCACTCTGTTTAGGCTGCAATGAACGAGACGTTCCTGTTGACAAACATTGCACCTCAAGTGGGTGTCGGCTTCAACAGACATTGTATGTCTACATGTGTTTTGCTTGTGTATTGTATGACTCATCTTGTCATCTAGACTGGGCGTATCTCGAGGATTGGTGTCGTCGTCTGACCTCTTCTTTTGCTGACGTATATGTCTTCACTATCCCTCTCTACCTTCCTAAGCTGGATGCGGATGGGAAATGGCGCGTAGTAAGTTCATTATTGTTGGGGTTATTGTATCATGTCGTATGACTCACTTATCGCTTTTCCTGTACATCAGACTCATGAAGTCATTGGTTCGCCACCGAACGTCTCCGTTCCAACGCATTTCGCGAAGGTTGTGGTAACATCGAGACCTTCTTCTCCTTCAAGTCCAGACGTGCCCGAGATTTCAACGGGTGCGTTCGTTCTGCCAAATGCGCCCATTCCTGACGAGGCGAAGCTTGAGAATTTCGTTATGCCCGGTAAGTATTTGCTCTGGCTCTTATTGGAACACATGTCTTGACGTTTTGTGTAGTTGAAGCAGTAGAACGCGCTGCAGGGCTCACTCTGTTCTCGGATGCGCTCAAACAGAACTCAAAACATATATGCAAGACAACAAAATGTGAGGTCATTGTTCGGAGATTCGATGATGCTCAGAAACGGCCCGAAATGCGGAGAGCTGTTTCCGCCCCTCGATAGCAGATCGTAGATGTTCGATCTAATAAGCAACTTGCCTGCATATAAACCGTCAATGATTATTTTCGATTATACTAGAAGTCGGATAGCATGTCCTTAATACCGGACCAATATAGTGGGTCTACCCGAGGTTCTATCTCCTGTTTTGTGAGCCATGCAAAGTCGAGGATGTCCTTGCCATGTGGTCGCACTTGCCCTGCCAAGATGTGTGCCTTGTAAAAGAACACGTACGCCTAAAAAATTACAATATGAGTGAATGCTAGATAGGATGGTTCCTACTAATTTTACCTGTGACGATTGAGCTAGGTCTGGTTCTAGTACACCTATAGGATTCCGGCTGACAACCCAGGTGTCCATATTTGAATCACACTTGTCCTCAAGGGCTCGCTCCGCCGCCTGTCAAAGGCACCTAAATACCCGAGATGTATTGCGAGAAATGGAGACATACCTCGTGCAATGGTTCACCTGACTGGAGGCCTCCTTGAGGGAACCTCCATATGTTCGCGCCTGCCTGACTCTTGATTTGAAGCAAGAGGTAGAGGTTGCGCTCCCCTTGCCGGTCCAAGCTTCTGACGTTCCCTGTGCGGTCGGACTCGTGTATTCTGGGTGCGGAATCCTCTTCCTTCTGCTCGCTAACGATTGCTAGCGAGTCTTCTGGTGCAGAGGTAGCCACGCTCTCGTCCCCGTCCTTGCCTTTGCGGAATTGTGGTCCACCGAATGCCAGACGGTCACGCTCCTTTTCCTCTTCCAGGAACTTGCCTTCTAAAAGGGAACCTTGCTTGAAATAAAATTCATCTGGAAAAGGATTAAACAGCGCCCGCTGAATTCGTGCGTGGTATGCATAGTATGAACGCTCGAAATTCGTAGGTGTTCGCGTGATAAGTGGAGAGCGGTTCAAGATGACGGCTGTGTTTATATTGGGCTTGTAGGGTTGAACAGTGGATGGTGGTGTCGTGTTCGAAGACGAGGATGAGGAGGGTTCGGGCGTGTCAGTAACTGTTGCCAATGTCCGGTGGCGGATAGGCAAACATAGCGCTGCTGCGTGATCTGTCAGCCAAACTCATTAGGTCGTTGAACTGAGACATACCTCTGCCTCGTTTGCACACAGCGAGGGTATTCCGAGACAGCATTCGAGTAGCCAGCACCGACGTCGCTGAGCCTGAGCGCGCGTGAATTCAAAAGTGCAGTACGCGACACACGTGATGTTACATCTATGAGCGCTTCTTCTGCCCGAGTCGCTGCAGTTGTTGCCGCATCCGAGACTGAGACACTTCCCAAGTAGCTGCAGTACCGCGTCGCGTCCCTCTATGTCCATACCCCTCGTGTCCAATTCATACCTGGATGAGACCTCGGCAAAGATAAGATCCAAGCCGGTCCCGTGGGAGGTATGCAGCCCAGCGCGTACCGGGAGAATTGGAGTTGGCTCATGCATACGTTCGACAGGGATACCAGCGCGCGGGTCTGATCACTGGAGAGGAGCTGGCCCTCATCAAGAGAGTAGACCGCCAGCCGCGGGCGAAGATTGACTCCATACTTTTGTCAGATGGACAGTCATATGCGCTTTTGTATCTGCGCCTATTGAAGAAGCTGCAAAGGGTCGATACTCAGCAGTGCATTTTGGTGCTGATCGCGGACGCTATCGCTGGTGAGTTGCGTGACGGACTGGCACAAATTGCGCCTAACGGCTATGCTCTTTTAGATCACGAGGAACGCATACCTCTCTTTATAAGGTCGCAGGAGCATGATTCCGACCTTCCGTTTGGTCCTTTGCTGCGGTGAGCTGCGTCCCGCATTGTATATGCTTAATTGTTCATTATGTTCCAGAATGCTGGAATCTCAAGATGATTTCATACAACTCAAGGCAGTACAAATACTGACCATCCTTCTGAGGTTTGTCGCGGCCCTTGTTTATCACTGATGGGTATGTTTATCCTATATCCTTTTCTATCAATAGCTTTGATTCTTCGCCCCTCCGTCCACAACAACTGCAACCGTTCCTCAGCACCCTGGCTGCGTTCATCTCCAATACTTCCCCTCATAAGCGCGACATCGCTGTACAATGTCTAGAAGCTGTTCTACCTCGTCCCGAATATCGCAAAGCAGCTTGGGCAATTTCTCCGTTAATTTCGGGGTGCGTCTTTCCATAACATCAACTATAATTAATACAAAGGCGCTTTACTGACACTTGAAGGTCATGTAGGCTCGTGGATATATTGAAATATAACCCAGGACCACAAATGAGCTATCAAGTTGGCTTCTGCATATGGTTACTCACCTTCGAAGAGGAGGTTGCACAGGAAATCAATAAGTACGTACCTGCGAGTGCAGACGAAGTCTGACATGACATCAATGGAAACTTACTGGCATTTGTTTTCAGGAAGTTCGACGTTGTGCCTATCTTGACAAATGTTGCGCAAAATGCAGTGAAGGAGAAAGTCATCCGTGTCGTCGTTGCTTCTTTCCGAGTTGCGTATAGGTTTATTGTCTTACGAAGTCCTGACTGACGAGTGAGGAACTGGCTGTGTCCTGTAGAATCTGGTGTCACAAGCACCCTCGGCCAACCTTCCTGCTATGCTTGTTGCCCAGCTGCTTCCTTTCGTTAAGAATCTCTGCACGCGGAAGTGGTCAGACGAGGACATCATTGAGGACGTGCAATACCTTCGTGACGAACTAAATGCACGTTTCCAGAGCATGACGTGAGTAGATAAGTGCCTGTATGGTTAGATCTCACTTAAAATTAACCGATCAAATTAGGACATACGACGAATATAGCTCTGAACTCATCTCTGGACACCTGTCGTGGACCCCAGTGCATGAGTCTGACCTCTTCTGGAAGGAGAACGCCACAAAGTTGAATGACAAAGACTATACGCAGTTAAAGTATGCCCGTATTTCGTGCATTCCCGTAATTTGCTGACACGCAGGCCGCGATTTTCAGACTTTTGATTCAGCTTTTGAAAGAGTCAGGCGACCCTACTGTCCTAGCTGTCGCAGCACATGATATTGGACAGTACGTCAAGCATTATGAGCGCGGAAAGAAGTAGGCATTAGCTCTATTTCGAATTCTACCAAGTACTGACGATACCATTTCCGTTCTTGACGCGTAGGGTGTTCACAGACCTCGGAGGCAAAACTCGGGTCATGGAACTCATGACACACGAGAATCCTGACGTACGCTATCAGGCTCTGATATCAGTACAGCGGCTGGTCAGCCACCCCTGGGCAGCTGTATAGCGACACCTTTAGTGTAGAGACAACGAAATTAATCAAGCGGAATTGGCGTTATACCTCAATCTCCAGTCTCATTTAGACTGAATGGCGGAAATAAGCGCAATCGCTTTGCCCTCGTTGTAGGTCAAACCCATGTCCGCGAAGATGCACTTGTAGCGATATTGTCGAATCAATCATTTTCATTGGAAAAACATACAGGTTTTTCAAACTGGCATCATCGTAATTACATCCAACCGGTGCAGATACTACGTATGAGGATTGAGTGTGCGTCCATCCTGAATCCCCGAAACCATATTCATAGCCCTCTTTAGTTGTCAGGCGCGGGGACAATCGAAGGGAGGAGAGGCTGGATGTCGAACGTCGCGTTCATCGTGAGTAGGAACGGATATGTGCCATATTCGCCCTGTAGGCCCAGCGCGCACGATTAGCTGGAACATGTTTTTTTAACATGTTGAGCACTCACAAGGAGGTTCGATGGGAAGCCCTTGTCGAACGGCAGGATTCCCTCGAGGTACGTGATATCCTCGGTGCTCAGCCGGAGGCTCAGCGCCTCGATGTTCGCCTGGAGGTGCTCGACCTTCCGTCCGCCGATGATGGGGAAGACGTACGGCGCCTTGTGCATCGTGTACGCGATCGCCACTGTTCGGTACAGAGAGTGAGCACGGTGCTCGGTGCGGGGACGCACGAGAGGGGAACGCACCGGCAGTGATGTGCTGCGCGCCGACGCGCTGGGCGACGACTGCGAGTGCGTCGCAGACCTTTTTCTCGTTGGGCGTGCGCTGCCAGTCGCCGACGTACGTGCGCCCGCCCTCACCCGTCGCGCGGCGGCGCTCCTCGTCCTCGTCAGAACGGATGTGTCCGCCCGCGAGGACGTTCCATAACGTCAGGGCCATGCCTGTCGACCGTCGGGAAATTATAATTATCAGTGTGGATCACGCGTGGAAGGATGGGGCGGACGTACCCTCGTGATGGCACATGGGAAGTACGTCGCGCTCGATATCTCGCTGCAGGACAGAGTACGGCGCCTGGTAGACGACGAAGGGTGTCTTGCCATGTGCCTTTGCGTATTCGTTTGCTTTGGTGACGAGCCATGCGGGGGTATCTGATACGCCCTATGCACCCACAGCATGTGTGTCGCCAATGCGGAGGAGAGGTGGGCAATACTTACGAGGTATAGTACCTTCCCTGCGACAACGAGGTTGTGCAGGCCGTCCATGATCTCCTCCATTGAGGTGTGGAGGTCCCAGTAGTGCACGTACAGCACGTCTATGTACGTTGTGCGCAGTTTGCGGAGGCTTGCGTCGACACTGATCCTCATGGACTTGACATTGTTGCCCATATGGGTGGCAGCCTGTTTGAGCGTAGGATCTCCTCGGCGAAAGTTGTTCGTGTACTGGGCCGCGCAGGGAGAGTCAAATTCTTATATCGACCGTGTATGGAGTGGTGACTGACCTTGGTACAGATGACAAGCTGGTCGCGGATGTCACGCTGCTCGGCCCATTCGCCTATGAATTCTTCCGAGGAGCCTTCTTGGCTGCATCCTCCATTAGCACGCTGCCCCGCTGTCGTGGATATATCAAGGCCAAAAGCGGGCTCACTAGTTACTTGCGGTGTCAATGAAGTTCCCGCCCGCGTCGAAGAATGCATCGAGAAGCTTGAAGGAGGACGCCTTGTCCATCGTTCCGAAGCCGTACTGGGCCCATTTGTCGCCGATGCTCATCGCGCCGAGACAGAGCGGGGAGACATGGACGGCTGCTCGGGGCGCAAGCTGGCGATAGCGGCCGAGGCGCGTCGGGGGCGGGGGAGCCGGCTGGAAGAGAGACATGGATGCCACTGACGATGCCAGGTAGTGTTCTGGGGTGCTCAGGCTGGTGGGACATGGCTTTGTGCGCCGGACAGATATATCTATCGATGCCGGGGAGGACGCGGTGTCTCTGCAGGAATTCGGGCGGCCTCGAGCGGGGTTTGGCCCGTGGACGGGTCTCGGATGTGGGTTCATTGAGAATACCGTCGATCGCGATCGACCGGCGGGATTGTCGTTCAGCTCGTCAGTGCGTACAGTGTCTCTGCTGCCAGTGCGACTTTAGTTTGTCAACTGACCTCTTTCCTCTCCAGAGGGACGGAGCACTCACAAAAAGACCAGCATTGTCGCCGTCCGCACTCACCTTGCTTGTACCAAGGCCTCCACATGGGCGCTTCTTGCGTCAGAGGCGTTGACTTACTACGTCCATTTTGTCAGCGCCGATGATGCTCACCGCCGCGTATATCCAGGCAGCCGGGACACGGATGTCAGCATCGCCTTAGATATCACGGCCGGCGTATTTGCATCCACGCAGTGGCTTGCGACTCATCGTCTTTATGTCTAGGAGCTGGGAGCGTCACTGCGGCTCGAATAGTATATCTTGTTACAGGGGGACCGACATTCCTTAGTAGCCCATAACAAGATTCTAGGTAGGCGAGGGGAATACGACTTTTTTATATGAGTTCCCACGAGTTTAGGATATGTTTGAATAAACGAATATCGATTCTATGACAGAGTGCGTAGCTACTTGCCTAGCACATACTCGATCCACCTCACAAGTTCCAAAGTGTGCAGACTGAGTCCGGGTCGAATACATCTCCGCGGAGGCCAAGGAGCACTCCGGAACGTTTTATGAAACTCAACATTACTCAAATTTCGGTAGCTTCCTCAGCCAACACCATGCGTTTTCTCACCCTCAGGCCTTAAGAAATAATAACAAGTATATTGTGCATAAGTTGCAACAGGTGCAGTCTCCAGCAATTTGATTTCAGCGGCCCGGGCCAAATTCCACACATCGTGGAAGCATACACCATCGTTGAACGAGCGCCACCGCCGCCACTAAGTATATTAGACGACGATCGATATCTTGGGGGGACTGACCTGGGTGGATATGATGAGCTGGTCGGATATTCCGGGCTGCCGAGTCCGTTCGCCAATGAACTCCTCGGAAGAACACCCTTGTATGCGGGACCATTCGTCGCCAATTCTCATTGTGCCAGCACAGCTGGAGGAGAGATATGGGTGGTAGCGTCACGGTGAGGCGGTGGGGGTTGGAACAGAGGCACGATGCGAGAGGGAGTGAGGACGCATGTGCACGGGGAGGCACGATATGGGTGTAGGATGAGGAGCGCCGTAGATGGAAAGCAGACTGCTTTATCTAGCAAGTCTCTCGAACCCCACTCGGACTTCCGGACGGGGCAACGCCATTGCGATCCCATGCAAGGTAGTCGCTCTCAAGCTTCCAGCTTCCAGCTCCAGCGCACGCAATCAACGGCCAAAACTAAAAGCGTATGCAATAAGCCGGTACGCATTGTACCTTGCAAACCTCGCACAGGCAAAGGAAATGGCGACATTGGCTCTACAATCACTGGACTGATATTTCACATAGGCGACACACGAGGTACGGGAACACAGCTAGTCGGACAAAAGAGCAACAATCCTTTCGTCATTAAAGTTACTATCTACCCATAGGGTGACTATCCATACCTCGAACGTCCGTGACCACGATTGCATGTGCAGGATTCACAGCTAGAGCAACATTCGCGCTCAGGCTGAGACGATGTCAGGGAACACTACCAGATGCAGCTTATACATGAGTCATGTCGACAGATCACAACCGTGTATGCAGCGATGAACTAGTTCGCCAGTCCTTGTTCAGTAGATTTCTGATTTGAGAGCGCACGCACTTGTTCATGCACCAGGATTTCCAAATGTACATGGAATTCCCCTCTCCGTTATCTCATCTAATATACAAGACGAAGGTAGGAATCAACCGCGCTCCAAAATGACGGGAAGCGCAAGGCTATACCCCATGGAACGTCCGCGCCATTACTTCTTGCCCGACCTGGATCAAATTGAGAGCGCTGAAACAAGAAGTATGACATATGACACTCACTTCTTGATGCCACCACCCGGCGCGCCTCCTACGAGAAAGAGAATCAGCAGATATCAATAGGATCTCACGGTAACTTGAAATCTCACCCTTGGAAGCTACAGGAAGGGATGAGCAAAGAAGATATGCCGAAAGTGCAAAAAACACACACACCCTTGTCCCGAGCAGCCTTCAGTGCAGCCTCTTCCTGCTTCTTCCTCTCCTTGAAGGCAACATCCTCCTCGTCTAAATCTTTCTTCTCCTTCTTGGGGGCCTGATTGAGCAGACAACAGGGATGAACGAGTGAGAAGGGGCTGATACATATACAACAGACCTTGAGAGGCTTGGCTTTGCCACCCTGTCTGCTCGACATTGTGCGTTGTTCACTGCAGTCGAGTCCTGGTCAAGTCAAAGAGGGTCGAGACACGTTGTGCTGGATAAATCTCGATCGAAATCTGTGCGGATCACGTGCGAGAGATGAAAGATCTAAGTAGGTTCAAGCTCGCTAAACCCGAGTTCTAACTGAAGACGAAGAATCATTGCAACCCCCACACGACTCGCACAAATGTCCGCTCAGAGTGTACGAAACAAGGTGTGCGGACGCTCTTCGCCACTGTGACCACATTCACCCTTCGGTCATTGTGTCCAAGTGTACAGTGCTATAGAGCTGGTCCACATTACTATTTTATCTCTTCTAGGTTGGTCTTCTCACCGCTCAAACCTTGGAAGGTATGAGCCTGGAAAGGCGTGCTAGTAGTAGTAGATCACTTACTCGTATGGACTGGATGCACGTGCCTGGTTAACCTGCTGTCAGTCGCAACTGACGATCGAAGTTGGAAGGCGGAAGCCATTTTCTCTCAACTCAAACCAAGTCATTACCTAAACCTGCCCAGTTTGATGTGCCACAGCACCCACCGCTCTCCGGGGATTTCTCACCCTTCTTGCTTTTTCATTCCCCAAGGAGATTCGCAATGCGTGTAGTCCTGGCTACTGTCTTATGTCTGTCCTTTGTGGCGCTCACTTTGGGTGCTACTGCAGAACAATGGAGAGGGAGATCTATATACCAGTCAGTTATAATCGTTGCCGTACTATATCTCTGTTAACTTGACTCCTCAGAATCATCACAGACCGATATGCATTGCCCGCCGGCACGAACAAGACTCAATGCAACCCGGGGGACCAGACATGGTGCGGCGGTAACTGGAACGCAATTCGTGAACATCTGGATTACATCCAGAACGCGGGCTTCACAGCCAGTAAGCGTTTTTGAGTTATATTTATGCGACTGTTAAAATCTCTGTAGTTTGGATTAGTCCCGTCTCCCAGAATTACGATGGCCCACGCTCTCCATATGGAGATGCGTATCATGGCTATTGGATTGCCGATGCGACAAAGCTCAATGATCGCTTTGGGACTGCCGATGACTTGAAGGCACTCTCTGATGAATTGCATAAAAGAGGGATGTACGTGATGTCTGCCCCTCCTCCTCTTGCTAAATTCTCATGACAGTCTTTGTTTCTAGGTATCTGATGGTTGACGTCGTGGTCAATAACGTCATGTCGACATCTATCACTCCAGACTTGTCGACATTTATGTTTAAGCAGAAGGTGCGTTAGGATGTTTGCTTCAAGGCCAGTCGCTGATCGAGAACGCTGTCAGTCGCAATATCATCCGTACTGTCCAATTCAATGGGGCAATGCGACTAGTGAACAGAATTGTTGGCTGGGTGATTTGAAGGTCCCCCTGCCTGACGTGAACACACAAGATCCCGGAGTTGTATCTGCATATTGTTCCTGGATTCAAAGCCTGGTTAGCGAGTTCGATATTGATGGGTTGCGCATAGACGGTAGGCTCTATTCCCAATCACACTCTTGCACATGTTATTTACATTTCCGCAGCCGCGAAGTAAGTCCTGTGTTTTTGTCATACCTTCGACGACCAGTGTTGTCTCCTGATACCGCTTGCAAGGCACGTAAACATGGATTTTTGGCCCACCTTTTGCAAGGCGGCTGGTGTTTTCTGCATCGGTGAAGTGTTTGATAATGATATGAGGTGATACATTTTGCAGGCTGATCTGAATTGGAGCTAACACATTTCTGCAGTCAGGCAGCACAATATCAAGGACCCGATGCGCTCGATTCCATTCTCAATTATCCTATGTATGGAGCGCTGGTGAACGCTTTCGCCATCCCAGGTCAGCGCAACGCCAGCGCAGTCACCGATGCCATTACTCAGTCGAAAGCCTTGTTCAAGGTGAGCAATCCCATGTATATATGTCTTCATTTCCAATTACCCAGGGGAGGTAATCCTCAGGATCCTGGCCTTCTGGGGAATTTTCTTGAAGACCAAGATTTGCCCCGTTGGGCTAATATTTCAGTTGACATACAATCACTGTGGAACGCAATGGTTTTCAATTTTATGTCTGACGGGTAAGTTGTTCAAGCGTATTGACGAATGTTTCATATTGAGCCTCGGATAGGATTCCAATTGTATACTATGGTCAAGAACAAGGATTTCATGGCGGCGGTGACCCGGTAAATGCTGTTACTTCTCTTGATTATGAACAAGAAATTTACATGAATCCGTAGTGGAACCGTGAACCTCTTTGGCCTTCGAATTACGCAAATACTACGACTTACCAACTCATGACGACTCTCAATAAGGCACACACTGAATCTCCTTTCTTTGTCCTCAGCCATTGACATTATACATAGTTCCGCAATTTTTTGGTCAACGGCACTACTGGCTGGCTCAAATCCCAGGCAGAGGTTTTAACAACAGGTCCATACGGTTTAGCCATCATGAAGGGTCAAGTTGTGACCATCCTCACCAATATCGGCTCGCCTGTAGGTCGACGTATATCGAATCCTTACTGTGACTGATTCATTGCGTAATAGCCTCAAAACGCTAGCGTAGCGGCCTACACAACATTCCATGATGAAACTGCTGTCACGGAGTGAGTACCCTCGTATAATTAATTAACCCTCCTTCTGGCGCGAACGTTTGTCCACAGTATCCTCTCTTGCGCTGAATACGCCGTCGGCAGCAATGGCACGCTGGAAATTTCGTATATCGAGGGTGGGGCGCCCGCGGTGCTCATCCCAAACAATTTGCTGCGCGATTCTAATCTCTGCGGATTTACCACGAGTTTTGATGATGGAGAAGGCGCAGCGCAGGCCGCGTCGAGCGCGCGAGTGGATGCGGGGCAACTTTCGTGGAGATCGTGGGTTTCTCAAGCGACACTGCTGATTCTTGTTGGCGTGTGTACCTTCTTAACATTATAGAGGCATGGTGTGCACAGTGATGTAGTAATATGCCCGAGATCGACTGTGTACACCAGTGGTTACTATGTAGTCTCACTGCCTGTCCGAGTTGGCGCACTGGGTCGATGGACGCGCGCTAAGGCAGTCTCGAGCCTGAACGGCAGACGCCGAAAAATGAAGCGGAGTGCAAATTGGGTGCGCGTCCCTGCTGGACGCAGGTCGTTTGCGAGCGTGCTCACCGTCGAAGGCGGTTTCGGTGCGTCTCAGCACCTGAATTCTCTTCTTTACTCCTCTCCTCCTATTCAAAACGGCTTCTGGTGGTGGCGGCGTCGGTCGACGCACGACCGAGGCTTCGACCCGTGTCCGGACTCCGGCCATGGATAATCCTGCCAATCCGAATATCCACACCATCGTCAAGGCGCAAATTGTATTCCTGCTGTCGACGCTCACGGAGGAAAATTTCGAGAGGAATCAGGCAGAAATCCGCTCCGTAAGTCTTTCTCTGTCTAGGAGCCGGAACTTGCGATCGCTATTGGGCTACTGACCTTTACGTTCTGCAGTTGTCCGAACAGCATGGAATCGACATATATCTCCACTTCATCCGCAGGCTCATAGTGCACTCTCAGAGTCGCCTTTTCCTAACACCCACACCCAACACCTTCGACGCATCCAGCCCCCTCACATTCCGCCTGTTGGTGCAGGAGACGCAACGTCTCGCACGCGACCCATTCCTCGCAGACCGCTTCAGAGATGGCATTGATAAGGGCGAGGGAGAGCTCTTTCGTCTCTTTGATTTGGCACGTTTTGCCGAACGCGTCGGTCTTCGCCCGCTTGAAAGGCTCATACTTGCGGCATCCATAGTGGCGGGCCAAACGCGTCGAGACCTTGCGTCTCAAGCAGTGAATATCATCCGAGCAGACTTTGAGAGCGCCGTAATGGCGATCTGTCAGCATCCCTCCTTCGACCACGCGGATTTGTCCCCAAATCAGATAGCGAGGTTGTTGACGAACCTCCTTTCCGAACCTCCCCTGGATACACCTGTCTTGGAAGCACCCCAGCGCCAAGCTCTTATTGCTGCCGCCCAGGCGAAATACGGCCCTGAGATTGTTTTGCCCATTCTTCAGCGCATTCTTTCCACTTTTTGGTACGTGTACCAAATTCTGGTTGCGTTTTGCGGCATTATTAATTAATTCGCCAAAATCAGCCTTTCTGCTGGCACCACGCTAGTGCAGACCTTAGCGCAGCTGGGTCCTGACATTACGGCTGATCCTGATGTCGTCCGCGCACTTCTTGCGCGTTTTGGCGTCTCAGAGTCGAATCCCCCGCGAGACGATCAAGTAGTCGAGATTGTGCAGAATCTTGCTCGTCTGGCGTCGGAGGGCGCAGTCTTGCCCGACGTGGGTGCGCTCATCAGGGCCCTGAGCAGCTATGTGAGTGTGTTGTTGGAACACTTGGGACCTCATAACTAACAGTATTTCAGGACGTGAAAATCACATGGGCTAGTGTAATTAAGGCTTTTGACATGCCAGACCGTCAAGGAGTAGACACGGCAACCTTGAAGTTACTCATTGCCATTTTGCTCAACTGTCCACGCGATGCTGAAGTGCACGCTGTCACTGGCTTTTGGCAGTTGTGGTCCAATTCTCTGTATCAGCTTCGACTGCTAGACGCGCTCCTCTCTCTCCCCGCGGACACATTCAACTTCGTGTCGCTACCAGGGCATCGTATTGTCACCGTGGACGACGTGGCTAACGCAAGTCCGACAATCAAATCCCTTGCTGCCAATGTTCAGGGCCACACATGGAACTCACTTGACCTGTTCGAAGTCTTGGTCAGATTGGCCGACTCTGATTCGATTGAAGTGAGAGGTTTTGTAAGGGAAATGCTCGATAAGGCGGTCAAGATCAGTGCGGAGCTCGTTCACATGGGTCTCCTACAAGTTCCCGTACGTATCTCGCAGTCATGGTTTTATTATGGCTCAAATGTTCTAACAACCAATGACAGTATTCAAACTGGGGCGAGATTCGTTCGGATTACACACAGCGGCTATTAGCCATGTTCCTAGCGGGGCACCCGAACCACCAGCTAGTTTTCATGCGCATCTGGCAGATTGAGCCTTCCTATTTGACCAATGCATTCCGCGGGTTCTATGAAGAGAGTCCACTGAATATCACAAGGATCTTGGACGTTGCTCAAGACTTAAAGGTGGGGCAGTTTGCCGATTTGTTCGTTATGGCGCTCTTCCCCTTACTATTTCCGTCAGATATTGGATTCTCTTCTGGAAGTTCGTCCATTCACATTCGCGCTCGACGTGGCTGCGTTGGCGTCGCGTAGAGAGTACTTGAATTTGGATAAGTGGTTGGCAGACAACGTCTCTGCTCATGGAGCCGACTTCTTGCATTCCGTCATCGCTTTCTTAGACGTCAAGATGGAAAGCGAGAAAGCTACAAGAATCTCGGATCCTGCTGTTGACCACCGTACCATGCCTCTGAACCCTCAAACCATTACTATATTCCTTCGTGTCCTCCGAAACAGGTAATGTCTCGCGAGGTTGTTTGGTTTGCCTAAGTTGATGACCTCGTTATGCAGCTCTGGTATTATGCATGAAAGCGATGTCGACTATTGCTTGGAAGTCCGCAATGCCTGTCTTCAGATTCATCCTCGACTGATGAATCTTGTTCCGGGCTCCGATGCCGAGCCAGGATTTGCCGTTGTCAGCTACACTCCGGAAATCGAGGCAGAAGTCGACAGCATCTACAAGCAGATGTACGATGAACACATCAGCATTGACGACGTGATCGCCCTCCTCCAACGTAACAAGACTTCGGCGAACCCTCGTGATCATGAGATATTCTCGTGCATGCTCCACTTCCTTTTCGACGAATACAAATTCTTCCAGTCCTTCTATCCGCCCCGCGAGCTAGCCATGACTGGCTATCTGTTCGGCTCTCTCATTCAATACCAACTAGTGGATTATATCCCACTTGGTATAGCCATTCGTTACGTGCTGGATGCCTTGAATTGTCCGCCAGAGACAAATTTGTTTAAATTTGGGATCCAGGCTCTGGCACGTTTCGAGTCTCGTCTTTCTGAGTGGCAGCCTCTCTGTCATGCACTCCTCAAGATACCTCACCTCCTAGAAACGCGACCTGACTTAGCTACCAGTATCCAGCGCGCAATTGCAGCAGCCGGAGACGACGCCAATAGTGCTGTGGATCTTCGCACTTTGGGAATCGCCGGCATTCCCGAACCTCCTCGCGTTTTCACCGCTATTCAGCCTGACGATGCCGAAGGCGAGATGGATCACCCTCCGGAGGAAGTTTCTGATAAAATACTATTCATAGTCAACAATCTGGCGCCGCTCAATTTCGATTCCAAGCTCGCGGACATGCGTGCTCAATTTCAGGAACAGTACTCCCGATGGTTCGCTAACTATCTTGTGGATCAACGCGTCAGTACCGAGCCCAACAATCACCAACTCTATCTACGTTTCTTGGACGCTCTCGATACTCAATCACTCTTTCGTCTTGTCATGCAAGAAACATTCGTCAAGTCAACTGCGCTCCTAAACGCTGAGGCGACGATGAAATCTACCTCCGAGCGTACCATTCTCAAGAATATTGCGTCCTGGCTGGGTAATATCACTCTCGCTCGAGACAGACCCATCAAGCACAAAAACTTGTCTTTCAAAGACTTGTTGATCGAGGGGTATGAGAGTGGCAGGCTGGCGGTCGCCATACCGTTTGTGTGCAAGACCCTGGAGCCTTGCGCAAAATCCAAGGTTTTCAGGCCCCCGAATCCCTGGTTAATGGCTGTAATCAGTCTTCTCGCTGAACTATATCATTTCGCGGAAATGAAGGCTATTCTGAAATTCGAGATTGAATTGCTATGCAAAGCGCTTGAGATTGACATTGATTCCATACAGGCTACTACAATTCTGCGCAATCGACCGTTGACTGACGTGTTAGCTGGGACTGGACTCCCGGAATATGTTGGCGATATCGATGCGCTACCTATGGGCGGTTACGACCTAACAACTCAGGCGCAAGGGGAAACGCAGGTCTTGCCCCTTGGGCCCACAAGCCCGTCCGAAGGCCAACGAGTTCTTGGTGCTCACATCGAAAGCATTTTGGCTGCACTACTGCCTCTTGTTGTTATCAATCCTCAGCTTGCCCCCCTCCATACCAATCAATCTTTCAAGCGTGCTATTCAGCTTGCGGTTGATCGAGCAGTGCGGGATGTAAGTTCGATTTTCATCTTGCCATAAGTGGGTTACCAAACTTAATTGTCAGATCCTCGTCCCTGTGGTCGACCGGTCGGTTGCAATTGCTGGGATCTCTACAAGGGAGCTTGTAGCGAAGGATTTTGCGACCGAACCCAGCGAAGATAAGCTCCGAAAGGCTGGTCATCTGATGGCACAGAGACTGGCTGGAAGTCTAGCATTGGTGACTTGCAAGGAGCCTTTGAGAAGTAACTTGACTGGCCAAATTCGTAGAGGGTTGTCTGAATATGGATTCAACGAGGTTAGCCGTAAGACTACCAATTTATTTGCTGAATACTCATTCATTGATAGCAAATGGTGCCCGAGCAAGTCATCATGATTCTTGCACAAGATAATATCGACCTCGCATGTCAAGCTATTGAAAAGGTCGCTATGGACCGCGCCATCATCGACCTGGACGAGGGCTTTGCCGCCGCTTACGAAATTCGCAGACGTCATCGTGAGGTGAGCTAAAATTCGTGTCCTAGATATCTGCGTATATCTGACAATGTGCCTTAATAATCAGCAACGACCGGGTCAGCCATTCTGGGATTCGGCATATCCACAGCCAGCCGTAGTGGCTTCGTTCCCTGAACCACTTCGAATCAAAGCGACGGGTGTCCTGCCCATTCAGACAGCTGTATATGAGGATTTTGGTATGTTTATTTGATTGTGATCCACGTACATTTATATCAACTCAAGCACAGGGATGGATACAAAAAGAAGAACATTATCAAGTCGGCCAAGTTCGACGGTCTCGTATCCCCGGAATGATCATCCGTCAGCATCCGTGTATGCGCCATCACCCATGCCCGAACAAGCGGTTCCAGGACAAACATTCCTACGTCATCAGGAAGCTATGGACCGTTTCAATGTAAGCCCAAGGATTACCGTCGGAAATAATTTAAGCTAACACTGTCCACAGGCTTTGGTCAAAGAGTTGGAAGCGCTTTTGGTGCAGCTGCCTATTCAGTCTCTTGCTATGCTACCACCCAGTCATGATGTTCGAAGCCTCGTCCGCCAGATCCTCTTCCTCGCCAATGATTCCATGGATCGCCATCGGACTCCCCTTCTCATGTCGCAAAAGATAGTGCAGCTGCTTTACAAAACATCGTCACAATTGGGTCGGGAGATTTATGTGGCTTTGTTAGACGAACTATGTCATTCATTCGAAGATGTGGCGAAGGAGGCCATCACATGGCTGATATACGCAGAGGATGAGGTACGGTACCCTTTCCTGTGATTTGTACCTTCATTACTGACGGGAGTTTTCCTAGCGAAAATTTAATGTCTCCGTCACTGTGACCTTGTTGCGAAGTGGTCTTATTAGCACTGCTCAGGAGGACCAGCAGCTAGCCAAATTTCTCTACAATGACCCCCGACCTAGCCTACTCAGTTTCTCTGCTGAGCTAATTCGAGAGTGCATTGGCACCAACCCCCCGATTGCATCTCAAAGTCATTTTCCATACACTCTGGAGGCCTTGAACCACTTGTCTCAGTCTGGCAAGGCTAATGAGGAGTAGGTCCCCGCTAGTATAATAATCAGTGTTTTCAACTAAATCACTCTACCCTTCAGTGTTCTTGGGCTGCTTGACGATCTCAGAGGAGTGCGCCGGCCATCCACTCAATCTGTTACCGACGTTCCCCGACAATCGTCCACGGGACCAGAAACCGAGCAACTGAGGGAGAAGCTATTCTTCTGGTTCCAACAATGGGTTTCAATCTTCCAGCGTTCCCATTCGCCCGAGAAGTCATTCGTCCCTTTCATTAGGGAGCTCACAAAGCAAGGTATCTTGAAAATAGAGGATGTATCGTCTTTCTTCTTTCGCGTATGTGCCGAGTCTAGTGTCAACAGCTACATCAAATGTGTCGCCGCGGGAGAATCGGAGATCGCTTTTCAGGCATTGGATGCGATGTCGAGATTGATCGTATTGATTATCAAGTATCACGGTGATGCTTCAGGAGTTAACAACGACCAGGCCAAAGTTCATTACTTGACGAAAATATTGTCTATCTTCGTTCTCGTCCTAGCGAACATGCACGAAGAGCAAGGCCAACTATTTCAGCAGAAACCGTTCTTCAGATTCTTCTGTAGTCTGCTCAACGATCTGCACACTCTTGAAGATAGCCTTGGGTCGGCATACTTCCAATTGTTGTTGGCGATCGGGTGCGTGAGCCATGCGATGTTATCGTATTTCATTTCGTGGCTGACGTCGGCATCAGCGACACCTTCAGTTCACTCCAGCCGACATACTTCCCCGGGTTTGCATTCTCCTGGATGAGCCTGATCTCCCATCGTCTATTCATGCCGAAGCTGCTTCTTTCGGAGAATCGCGAGGTACGTGACTGAATGAGGTTCGCTGATTTTAATTAAACGAGATTGTTTTTAAAGGGCTGGTCTGCGTTCTACAAGCTTCTGCTGTCTTTGTTTAAGTTTTTGTCTCCTTTCCTCAAGGCAGCGGATCTTCAACAAGCATCAAGAGATCTTTACCGTGGGGCACTCCGCCTTCTCCTAGTCCTACTCCACGATTTCCCCGAATTCCTGAGCGAATATTACTTCACGCTCTGCGACATGATTCCTGACAGATGCGTTCAGTTGCGCAACATCATTTTAAGCGCATACCCTCCCGCCAACGTACCACCCGATCCACACCTTTGCAATGTCGATTTTGAATCCTTAACCGAGACGGGCCCTATCCCTCCTATCCTGTCAGATTTTGCCTCCAACCTGAAAACCGGAGATTTGCGCGCGTACTTAGATCAGCAGCTTTTAGGCCGGGGATCGCCCTCTTTCTTGCCATCCCTCAAGGAGCGTCTCAAACTGAATAGTAATTCAGAAGGCGTTTCAGAGACATACAACGTGTCGCTTATGAATTCCCTTGTCATGTACATCGGCGTATCGTCTGTCGCACAAGCCAAGGCCCGAAGCGGCAACTCTTTATTCGTCTCTAGCGATCCGGGAGTGGTCGTTCTTCATTACCTCGCCGCCAACTTAGATATTGAAGGCAAGTATTTGTTGACCTATGCAATAATCTAGTCTTGACTTTGTTTGTTTCAGGCCAGCACCACATTCTCAGCTCCATGGTTCTCCATTTGCGCTATCCCAATGCACACACGCACTGGTTCAGTAGCCTCATGCTGTATCTATTCTCGGAGATCAAAAGCCACCAATTCAGAGAGGTTCTAACCAAGGTTCTTCTGGAGCGATTCCTTGTACACCGCCCGCATCCTTGGGGTGCTTTGGTGACGTTCATCGAATTACTTCGCAACCCCAAGCACGAATTCTGGAGCCAGGACTTCGTACGCATTGCGCCTGAAGTCACACTGCTTCTTGAAAATGTAAGTGTCACATCTGTATGCAGGCAATTATCGCTCAATGGACTATTTTCAGGTCGCGCGATCCATCTTCCAGTCGTAGATTGTCCTCTGCTGTCGACCTCGCTATCTGTGTCATATATTATCCTGCCTCGTCCCTCTCTCTCTGGGTTTGTCATCATTGCGCACTGTATTGTACCACGATTTCTCCATTCCAGTGTTTTAAAAGGCATACGTGACGACTCGAACTTTGCTTACGGTCGGGCTTACGGATCCACGCATATACTGATGATTATGATAACTGTGATCTGTATATTCCACGTCCATGTATCATTTATGCATACGAGCGTATAATTAGAACCAGGACAATGCGTCATTCCAGCCCCAGCTGCTGTTCCAAACACTAGGAAATTTTGTGATTCCTAGGTGATGAAATCTTACTTAAGGTGAAGTACTTACCCTGCACCTTCAACTCCGGCAGCTCCGATGTGGTCTGTATCTTCGCCAACCACAATCCAGTCGGGTAGCGTGGTGCCAGTACGCAGCGGAAATAGTCGTAACGCTCTCTCCAATCCAAGACCATCATTGGCCTGGATAAAAACCATGGACCCCTCCTGATTACTGGGGTGGGGGTGTAAAAATAAGGTAGCCGAGGTATGGAGTAGAGGTCGGCCTCTCAGATAGAGCAATCCGTCGCTGTATGTGAACGCCGTCTGCCTTGCTCGTAGAACAGCCGCAGCGAAAGAACAACCCAAGTCTCCGAGCACAACGATATTACCTGAGCCTAATTCATCGGCGCTTTGTCGCCTCATCGCTTCAGTACTGTCAATAATCTCCGAGTCTAGTTTATGGTACACGTCCAGGTTGTGAGCAATTTGCAGCGCCGATAGCAGAGCATGTTCCGAGCTCATGTCAGATACAACTATAACCATAGGAGCAGCAGTAGAGAGGATCTTGGCCATTCTACCTGACGATTGAGAAGCGCGAGCCGGAACGCTTGAAGGCTATAGTGATGAGAATACCAGCATTAATTAGACGAATCATGTCAGAATACTACTCATACTGGCCTCCCACAAATTTTGTTCATCTAACGAAAAGTATTGTACTCCGTCCGGCCAATTCTGGTGAGGCTTAACGGAGACGGCATTGTCGTCAATGACCAGCTGTCTTTCAGCAGCTAATGTCGTGTGCTGAACAGAGAACGTCTGGACGTTCGTCGTACGCACAAAGACGGCGCTGTCACGAATTTGCACGGTAAGGCGAGCCAGCCTGCCGGAATACAATGTACATATCCGTCAATATAGGGCAGGGAACAAATAAATCACATACCGTCCCGGGATCAAGAGGCTGTGGATCTGCCAGCCGTGCAAGGAACCACTCTCCGCCGGCATTGACACGGTCAAGGTGAAGGATCCAGCTTCGAATTTCGGAGATGCCAGATTCAAACTCGAGTCTTGAGACAACACAGAATCCATGAAGTTACGAACATGGTCGTTGTCGAAAGCGGATGGATACCAATGCGGTTGGTGTGGATCTTCATGATAGCTATCGTCATTTCTAGGAAGTCAGAAACTCAGTAATCACTTCGTTCTTGAGAACGAACGTTATATTGGCGCGCGGATTCCATGTCTTGACAATAGCCACAGCTTCGCGCGTATGCCATACGGGTACGTTTTCATCATTCCCACTAAGATCCGATCATAAATATGATGCATCCTTTTCGAATGAGAAAAAAATTGGGTCACCCATGTATTGCCAATATCGGTGTGTCGACGAGGTTGGATAAGAATAGATCATTATCATCCGGCGTGAACGACGTCTCCAATATTGCTCGCAGTGCAGGATCAATGAAATGCGCAGATCTAAGGACCCGGGTTTTACACTATAAAAGTAGGAAGAGGAAGTCTATAACTTGCCTTGATTGCGTCAGAGGGACGTACGCCTGAGATTTTATATACGCAGCCGCAGGAATCGCTGAGAAAATATGTGGAACCTCTATCATTTGAAAGTTGGCATTGGACATACCTGCAATCACTCTATCCGGATACCTCGACGCCAGATACCATGCGCCTTGGCCGCCGTTGGAATGACCAAGGACAAGCACACGTGTCTGGTCGGCCAGCGCATATCCGTGCCATGCATCTCTGCTCACCAAAATATAGTACAACGCATCAACTGTGCCCCAAGTATCCTGTATGCTGGGCCCGTGCCAATCTAATCCCTTTATCACCGAAGTGATTCATGAGTCAATCCGCTCTAGCGTAACACCGTAATAAGACATACCCAAGCCGTGCGACCTGTGGGAGCAATGATCCAGCTGCTCGCTTGGCGAGGGAGGGCCTGAATCCAGAAAGGTGCGGAAAGAATATCCACGCCCGCACCGTCTGAAGCAGGTCACCCTTTGTGTAAACACGAAATAAGGCTGAGAGTGCACTCACGTAAAGCCAGCACGGGAGGACGGGGAGTGCCTTCATTCTCTTTCTCCGGCGGTTTCACAAGAAAAGCCGTCGGCATGGACGTCGCAAAGAAATAGGTTGCCTTAATTCCGTCCGTGGACAATTCAGAGTCTGCCCAATGCTTGTGCTGGTTGACGGGTAGGACAACCTGAAGAATTTCCGATGCAGTTTCTGACACAAGATGTAAGGCGAGACGCAGTTCTTTTTCGTAAAAAGGTACGCTCTGAGAGAAGCGGATGGGGATTATACGGGTTTGCATAGGAGCGACGCGTATTTCATCCACTATTGAGACATTCACCTGAGGGATGTTTAAGTTAGTGCATATCTTCGGTCATGTTTCGACTCACATCTGCAGGCGCAACTGCTAACACAATATCTTTCACGGTCCACCAGCCCGAAACGCTCCGGATTCCAACGCCAAGCGCATTTCCGAAGGACCAGCCGTCCACAAAATCACACGACACGTCATGAGAGGCCATGTGAACGACTGTGTCGACTAGTGGTTCAGGCTCAATAGATATTGAGAGTGTTATCGAGAGAACTGGTATGCCATCGCGGTTTCCATTATAAAGAGGATCGCCAAACAGCCTGATCTAAAGGGGATATGTAAGGAGGACAGAAGGTCATGACTACAAATCTACCTCGTAATCTCCGCTCACGAAAACATCATAGGTAGTGGGGGACGTTGTGGATGGAGCGACAGGAAGCCGGACTGGTTGTGATGGCGAACTGGTCATTGCGTAGATATTGCCCGAATACCATCGTAGTGCGTCATGTCCTAGATTGAATGATTCATCCTGGGAGGCTCGTGGTAAGATGGTGAAGAATGATCCTTGCGCCAGATCAACGAGGAGATGGGGAGGCTTGCTAGACCAGGAATCAAGCGAAGTGGGAGGATACAGGGTGACGGAGGTGCGAAGTACGGCGTGGTGCTGCAGTCCTGCCCACCCCTCAGTTTCTCTGAGTGAAGTCCAGCTGAAAGCTTTTATGGGCCGTTAGTCCACGACATAAAGAGGAGCTAAAATACCGGATTCCCGGGAAGGATACGTCTAAAACGCCATTTTTTCCGCCTTGTGCAGTCGTCCACCCCACATTTCCATTATCCGCATAGGAAGACGGCCACTTTGCATTAAAATTTATCGGTTCAGAGACTAGGCAAATAGATACACTGGTTGTCCAGGTGGAGTCGAGCACTATGTTCACTTACGATTGAGCGGGAAAGCAGGAGACAAAAACTGTTGCTCCCTTGCATGTATAGGAAAGGGCCCTAGGACCTTAAAATCCACGTGAATGAGACTGCAGCGACAATGTTTGAAAGAGAAAATACTCACATCCCAGACATCGGACACGCTCACCCTCCACTGATCGGACGCATCGAATACGCGCTGAACCTCATGGTCGACCATGATCGCAATGCTGGCCGGTACAAGACACAGACGAGCTATCGCGCGGAAATGTGTCCGGAAGAACCACATCTGAGTACAGAGTCATGGGTCACAGGAATGTCTCACATGCATATGCTTCGAAAGTCGCAGAGGCCCAAGTTGTGGATGCTCGAAAGGTAGGTAGTTAACTCGGTTGCACTGTCCAGGCTCACACTACCAGAATCTTGTCGGAGACGCCTCCTGCATTAGCATACTCTTCGCTCGCAATGCCCGAAATTGCCAGTGAGATATCTGCGGAAGTGAGTGCTTCAGCCGTCCGTATCGATCTGCTGCTACCACCTTTGTTGGCCGCACAACGCTCGTCATGGGAGCAGGGAGTCGCAGCACAGGCTCTGCTCGAATGCTACCAGTTTTTCGTGCGAGAGGATATCCCAAAGCCCCAGCAGGAGGCTCATTTCTTACCGTACCTCTACGCATTTGCCCACGAGTCTCTTGTTCGCCAAGCATCCGACGGCCGCCTTGCAACTTTGCTCAATGGCAATGGGGCTTCAGACTCTGGTGCTGCCGATCCCGCTAGCAACGGGGAACCTATATATTTCCTGCTGGCTCTTTCGGAACGTCTGGGTCACGTCTTTCCCCCACCCGCTTCAGCCACGAATGCCTCTCTAGCCGAAGGAGTGGATGGGATGCTGTCATACATAGTTGACGCTTGCCCTCGTGCTCCAATTAATGGCGATAATAGCGATACTGAAGATCAGATGAAACTGTTCTCTCATCGCACTGACGCGGTGCAGATCTGGTCTGATACTGTCTACATGCTCCCGCCCTTCCTCGTATCGGCAGCCATTTTCCATCTCGACCACCCACATCCTCGTTACCAATCTATCACCCTCCTTCACATGGGTCTGCAGCAGATCCTACTCGCAGCTCAGGCGCTACAAGGACACTCGGGTGAATGGTCCCATATATATGATCTCTCTGCAAAGGAGTATAACAGGCCCGCGCCATGGGGAGTTGGGAATGGTTGGGTTTGTTGTGGGATTGTTCGAGTACTTCGCATGCTGAATTGTCGGGTTTCCGAGGAGGATGCAGATCCAATGTCCTCTCGAGCTCTGGCAACTCTTCTGCTACACCATCCTCAGCTCATTGACAAGCTTCGTCGGTGCTTGAACGTGCTCGCGACAACTATGTGCGCATGTTTAAAGCGCATCCGCCTCGATGGCTTGTTCCACGACATACTCGATAATGAATCCACATTTGTGGAGACAAATTTATCGCAACAACTTTCCTACACGCTCGTCCGTTTACTCGACCTTCGCCTGCACCATCGAGATTTTATAGCCCCCATGCTTTCTTCTGAGATTCTGGAAGAAACATGGAGGCAATGGGAGCGGGTAGCAGAAACTATGCGTACTGCGGCAGTCGGTAAGACCGACGCATGGGGATTTGTGCGCGATGTGTGCGGAAGTCCTTCATTTGACAAGCCAGGCACAGCCGCGGAAGGACAGGCATGGGGGATTATGATGGAGACCGCTAGAGCAGAATACTTTGTCCGCAGAAGACATTTCGAAGCAATATGCTCAAACTGACTGGAGGCCTGATGTCCACAAGCCATCTATACATATACATATATTCTCCTAGCTGCTCGACGTATATAATCTATGATCTACAGACCAGCTGTGATAGCAAGGCCATGTTTTCAAAATGCGACTGAGAAACTGCGATAAGATTACACGAAGAAAAAAGTAATAATAAATATTGAGACCCGTAGGTCTACCACTCCGGGAAAGCGTGTCATCCTTGTGCAGGGGCCATGCTAATCTTCTCTGTATCGTTCCAATTTTTTCGTATGTCACCCCGAAGGGGACAATATTGAATACTAGCGCAGATGAAGGACGATCGCGTTTATGCATTTCGTGCAACCAGCGGGGAGACCTCGTGACGCCTCGGCGCGTCAGATTCGACGCGTCGCAGCCGCAGCCTTCAAGCTGAGAGCTTCAAGTTCGACATGTCAACTTGTCCCGAACTTGAACCTAGACTTTCACTGTATTAGTCTACAGATAGTTAGCGTTAAGAAACGTGTCTTTTCAAGTAAATGGCGCGTGTATACGAACCACAAGCCTTCTCCGCGTACGGCTGGGTCGTGTGCGTCTGGACTCTCATAGTGTCGTTCCAGGTAAGTCGACAATCGCCCTACTCGACGAAAGTGATCTGAATCGTGCTTGTCAATGTAGTATGGCTACCATATATCGTCGCTCAACCAGATACAAGCTGTTCTCACATGCCGCGCTATAGCTCCTGATGATCCAACGACTCACTATGGCCTACCAACTTGCATACTTATGACGGACGCTACCTTCTCGCTGGTCACCTCCGTCTATACCGTCGGTGGTTTGCTAGGAAGTCTGGGCGCAAACGTCATGATGGATCGTTGGGGTAGGAAAGGTGCCTGTCTGTCCAGCGCAGTTACCACTGCCACCGGCGCTGGACTTATGGCAGTCTCGGCCTCCTTGATGCCTCTGGTAATTGGAAGGTGATTCCTTTCCTGATACCCTCACCTTTTGGTCTGTGACCTGATTTCTAAATAGGATGTTTACCGGTATTGGGGCTGGTATCGGACTTTGTGTCGGGCCCATCTTCTTATCCGAGTTAGCCCCTCCCAAAAGACGAGGTGCTGTCGGTAAGCTAACTTATTACTGTATCTTGTTCAATCATAGGATCATCCATATATCACAGGTGTATTGACTCAGTTTGCCATCGTGATTGGTATAATGGTCACGCAGGCCATGGGTTTGCAGCTGGCAACACCTCGCCAGTGGCGCCTTGTTCTGCTATTCTCTTCATTGCTTTCGTTTGCACAGCTTGTGGTAAGCCCAGTGATATCCGAATCACCAACTTGGCTCGACAGACATGGGCTATTGCAAGACAAAGACAAAGTTGTACGTAGAATCTGGAAGAGT